GCCGGACGACGGCGGCGACGCGCCCGACGACGGCGGCGACGCGCCCGGCGACGGCGGCGACGCGCCCGGCGACGGCGGCGACGCGCCGCCGCCGCCGCCGGACGCGCCCGCGGCGCCGCGCGACGCCGCGCCCGAGGCCGCCGCGGACTTCCAGCCCGTCGTCGGCCGGCGCCGGGGCCGCCGCGCGCCCGAGCCCGCGGCGGCGCCGCCCGCGCCGCCGCCGGAGCCGGAGCCGGCGCCCGCGCCGCCCGCGCCGAGCCCCGCGCCGGAGCCCAAGGCGGCGCCGCCCAAGGGCGGCGCCGTCGTCGTCGTCGCGCCCGTGGGGGCCGCCTTCGTCTCCCGCGCGCCGGCCGAGCGCCGCGTCGCCGCGGCCGAGCCCGACGCCTTCGTGCCGCCGGAGTGCTTCTGCCCCATCAGCATGGCCCTCATGCAGGAGCCCTACCTCGCGACGGACGGCCACACCTACGAGCGCGAGTGCATCGCCGCGTGGCTCGAGAACCACGACACGTCCCCCCTGACCAACGACCAGCTCCCCTCGAAGATGATCATACCCAACCACGCGCTCCGCTCCCTCATCATGACGCGCTTCCAGCACCGCGAGCACCCGCCGGACCTCTTCTAGGGAGCGCCGCGCCCGCGTAAGCCTCCTTTTCTTGGCTTGCGCTTGAAAAGCCCGCGTCCGACGGGAACCACAGCACATTTTTTTAGAGCCCCGCGGACCCGAAGTCGAAGGGCCGGCTGCCCGGCGACGTCCTCGGCGGCGCGGCCTTGAGCTTCTTGTTCTCCGCCTCGAGCGCCGCGAGCTTCTCCGCCATGGCCGCCTCGCGCTCCTTGAGCTCGTCGAGCTGGGACATCTTGTTGTTCTCCGACTGGACCAGGGCCTGCGCGAGCTCCTCCTTGTCGAGGAGCTCCTCGCGCGTCCGCGACAGGTCGCGCCGCGCCTCCTCGGCGAGCGCCGCGGCGGCGGCGGCCTCGGCGAGCGCCGCGTCCCGAGCCTTGGCGTCGCGCGCCGCGGCGTCGCGCGCCTCCCGGAGCGCGAGCGCCGCGCGGCCCCGCTCCGCGCTCTCCTCGAGGCGCGCGCGGTTCGCGGCGACGCGCTCCGCGCCGGACAGCTCCCGCGGCGCCGCGGCGCGCGCGGGCGCCGGCGCGGTCGCCGGCGCCGCGGTCGCCGGCGCCGGCGCCGCGGCCGCGTCCCTCGGCGCGCGCGCTTTCCAGCAGCCGCAGCACATGGGCAGCGCCGCCTTCTCGCCCTCGTGCGGCTCGCCGCAGTGTTTGCAGACCCAGCCGTTCGTCCGCGGCCGGGACGGCGCGACCTCGAGGCGCTTCTTCTTTTTCTTCGCCGACGACGCCGGCGCGGCCCGCTTCGGCGGCGACGGCGGGTGCCGCGGCGACGGCGATGCCTTCGCGGGTTGCCGCGGCGGCTCCCGCGGCGGCGACGGCGACGCCTTCGCGGGTTGCCGCGGCAGCGACGCGCGCCGCGTCTCCTGCGTGTCGCGCCGCGACTCCTGCGTGTCCGGCGACGCCTCGTCCTCGGACGACGAGTCGGAGGTATCGTCTGGGAAGATCTTCGTCGACTTCTTCTTCTTCTTGTGGTCCATTGTTAGCCGGTCGCTGCGCCGGCGCGAGCTATCCTTCGGAGCCCAAAGCCCGCGAGACAATCTCGCGAGACAAGAACTTGTTTGAACTTCACGATCACCCGCTCGCACCCGCCCCAGACGGGCGTGCGCGGTCGGCAAGAGGCTTGCAAGTCGTGCTCTGGGCCTCTGCCCGCCCGCATCCGCAAGCACGCGCCGCGTCGCATCGACAATCGCGCTTACCCCGCCCCCGCGTAGGCCGCGCTCGCGTCCCAGAGCGCGTCGGCGAGCGCGTCCGCGTCGCGCGGGAGGCCCGGCGCCTCCGCGCGGCAGTCGGCGACGTAGGGGCTCCGCCCCGCGTTCTCCGCCGCGGCGAGCTCGGGCGCGAGGGCCGCGTGGACCGTGGCGTGGGCGCCGTGGGGCGGGAGCTTCTGGAAGAGGAGCCAGCAGGGCACCGCGAGCGCGTGGGCGGCGCGGACGGGCCACGGGAGGCTCCGCGTGACGTCCGTGTAGACGCAGCCCGGGTGCACGGCGATGGCGGCGACGGCCGGCCGCCGCCGCGCGAGGGCGCGCGCGTGGAGCACGTTCATGAGCTTGGACAGCGCGTAGCGCGGGAAGAGGCCGTACGCGCGCGCGTCGCCCCGGAGGTCGGCGACCGCGGCGCGCCGCGCGGCGGCGTCCGGCAGCGCGTCCAGGGCCCGCGCCGCGACGCGGTGGAGGCTGCTGCTCACGACGACGACGCGGCAGTCGCGGCCGCGCGCCGCGTTCGCGGCGAGCGTCGGTCCCAGGAGCTCCGCGAGGAGGAAGTGGCCGAGGTGGTTCGACGCGACGGTGGCCTCGGCGCCGCCGCCGACGACGCCGTAGGCCGGCCGCATGACGCCCGCGTTGAGCACGAGGAGCGCCAGGTCCGGCGCGGCCGCCGCCGCGGCCGCCGCGTAGCCGCGCACGGACGCGCGGTCGTCGAGCTCGAGGCCGGCGCCCGGGAGCGCGCGCGCGCGGCCGGGCCCGCGCGCGGCGGCGTTGATGCGCGCCGCCGCGGCGGCGGCCCGCTCGGGGCTCCGGCCGGGCACGACGACGTCGACGCCGCGGCGGCAGAGCGCGACGGCCGTCGCCAGGCCGATGCCCGCCGTCGCGCCGGTGACGAGCGCGACGGTGCCCGGCGCCGCGCGCCGCGCCGTCGGCGACCGGCCCCGGGCGTTGTGGGCATAGGTGGCGAAAACGCCGACGACGAGCACGACCGCGCGAAACGCCGGCGCGTCGCGCAGGGCCAGCGCCGCGCCGCAGCACGCGAGGCGCGCGGCGGTCCACCGCAGCCAGCGCAGGCGCTCGGCGGCGGTCGCGAGCTCCTCCGTGCGCAGGCGGAAGAGCAGGCCCGACGCGGCGTAGCCGGCGACGATCTGCAGCGGCTTCGCACAGGCCCAGGCGGCGGCGGCGCGCAAGGACATCGTCGCAAAAGCTTGTGGCAAAACGGCATCATCTTCATCATCTTCGACTCAAACAGGACTTGCAGCGTCCTGCCGGAGAGTCGCATGGCTGGGTCCGGACCGAGGCGGCTCGCATTGCGTCGCGTCCTGCTGTTCGTCGTCTGCGCCGACGCGTTCCTCGCACCATCGAGAACGACTCGTCGGCGACCGCCGCGCGTGAGCGACGACGCCGAGGAGGTCCCGCTCATGGTCGCCGTCGCGGAGATCCCGCGGCCGCTGGGCCTCATCTTGGAGGAGCGCGAGGACGGCCGAGGCGTCGAGATCATCCGCGTGGACCCGCGCGGCAACGCGGCGCTGTCGCGCGCGGACGTGCTCGTCGGCGACCGGGTGCTCGCGGTCGGCGACGCCGCCTGCGGGGAGGGCGGCTTCGACGACGTCGCGGGCCTCATCGGTCGCTCGCCGGACGTCGTGGAGCTCACGCTGGGCCGCGCGCTCGACGTCGTGCGCGTCGAGTGGCCCAACGGCTGCGTCGTCGGCGCGCGGCCGGGCGACCGCATGGTCGACCTCGCGGCGAAAGCCGGCTGGGGCGTGCGGTACTCGTGCGCGGGCGGCTCCTGCGGCACCTGCGAGCACCGGCTGCGGACGGGGACGGGCGAGCGCTACTCGCGCCTCTGCGTCGCGCGCGTCCCGAAGAACGCGCCCGTCGTCGCCGTCGTCCGCGGCGACCGGTATTAAAAGCGAGGACGCGCCTAGCGCTCGGGGTCGACGTAGCGGGGGAACGCGTCGCGGTCGCCGTCGTCGGGCCGCGCCGCGGAGGGCGACGCGAAGTAGGCCCGGTCGAGGGACCGGAGGAAGTCGAAGTGGAGCCGGCCCGCGCGCGTCGCGGAGCCCTCGAAGAGGGCCATGACGCCGGCGTCGTCCGCGAGGTCCGGCCGCGCGCCGCAGGCGTCGCCGCAGTCCACGGGCGGCCACGCGCGGTACCAGCCGCTCGACGCGTGCGCGTTCTCGTGCGCGGCCGCCGCGAGGACCTCGCGGTCGCGGCCGTCGCAGCCGCGGCCGGCGCAGAAGTCGTCGAGCGCCGCGTCGAGCGCGGCGGCGTAGGCCGGCGCGTGCGGGTAGCCGTCGACGCCGGCGATCTGGAGCCAGGCCTCCGTGTAGCCCTCGTCGACGTGGAACGTGCGCACGTCCTCGCCCTCGTCCGCGCCGAGCTGGAAGAGGCCGTTCGTGTTGATCTCCTCGAGGCGCCAGCCGCCGAGGTCCGCGTCCCAGAGCGCGTCGGGCGACAACAGCGCGAAGCGCCGCGACCGCCGCGAGAGCTCGCCGTCGCGCGCGCCGTAGACGCGCGCCTCGTGGCCGTGGAGCTCGTCCTTGGCCAGGAGGAGCGGCAGGAGCGCGGTCCGCTCGAGCGCGGGCCAGAGCTCGGCCTGCCACGCCGCCCAGGCCGCCTCGCCGCCGAGGGGCGGCGCCTCGCCGAGCCGGAGCTCCTCGAAGAAGCTCCGCCCCCCGCGGAGGCCGCCGAGGTCCGGCCGCGTCACGCCGGGGTAGTCGTAGGGCCACGGCCGCGGGAACGTCATGTGCTTGAGGCAGAACTCATTCGCCATCATGAGGATGTGCATGCACTTGGCCGGGAGCGTACTCGCGTTGCGGGGCAGGCCCCAGCCCTCGTAGTCGACGACGGAGATCTTCCTGCGGGGGGCGGCGGCAAAGGTCCGGGCCCGCGCGCGGCGGCGGCGGCGGCGCGGCGCGCGCGCGGGAACGCGACGTCGAGGACGTAGACCGCGAGGGGCTCGAGCGACGCGACGAGGGTCCAGAGCCGCAGGTCGAACTTGCGGCGGCCGAGCGTCGCGGGCCGCGTCACGTAGCGCTGCATCGTGAACTCGCCCGGCTGCTTCGTGTGGTGCTCGCGCTTCTTCTCCTCGAGCGGCGTCTCGCGCGTCGCCCACGCCGCGACGGCGCCCGCGCTCGCGAGGTCGGCCTCGAGGAGGGTCGCGAGGTGCATGCCCAGGCTCAGGTAGCGCCGCTGGGGCTTGACGATCCACGTCGACCTGCGCGGGGAACAGGGCGCGAGATTCCCAAGGCTCCTCCCTCGGCCGCGTGCCGCTCGTTTCGGCGCGCGTCGCGACGGGCGATCGTCTCTCGGAGCGCCCTCGACGCGGGGATGCCTTTGGAACGCTCGCGTCGAAGCGACGTCGCATCACCCCCGCGCCGCGCCGGCGTCGACGGGCCCTCGCGCGCGAGGAGGTCGACGAGCGCGTCGATGCCTGTGTGGAAATCAAATCTTCAACCCGACTTCAATGTGCGCGTATTCAAACGGTTCGACCCAAGCTTCTTGGCTGTGCTTCGAGGACTCGACGAGAGCAATCGACTCGTCCAAAAATCAATCGAATCGACTTCGATGTGACCGAGCTAGAGAATTCTGAAGTTTGGTCAGGACGTCCCAGCTCACTGGTTGATTTGCACACAGGTCGACGCCGCCCTCGACGGCGAACCGCGGCGCGCCGTCGACGAGCTTGTGGACCGCGTTGAAGGACGGCGTCGTCCAGGCGCAGAGGCCCGCCGCCGCCGCGGCGCCGAGCGCGCCGGCGTCGCGGAGCGACGCAGCCGCGCCAGAGCCGCGCGAACGCCTCCTTGTCGCCGAGGACCTCCTTGAGGCCGGGGATCGACGACACGAGGCTCCCCGCCGGCGCGAGGAGGTAGTTGTGCTCGTGCTCCGGCGTGAACTGGAGGCCCACGTAGCAGTCCCAGTCCATGCCCTTGGTCTCGAGCAGGCCCATGCGCCGCAGGAGCGGCGCGACGAAGTTCTCGAGGTCCTTCCGCGGGCCCGCGCGGAACTTGCGGCTCGACGCGCGCACGGGCCGCTGGACGTTCCCGCGGCGCACGAAGCGCTCGCCGCGGCTGAAGGGGAACGACGTCGCGGCCGCGAGGCGCGCCGTCGGCGCGGGCGTCGGCGCGGGCGTCCGCCGGCGGCCGCGGCGCCCGCGCTTCCCGCGGCGCGTGCCGTTGCGCGCCTTCGACGGCTTCTTCGCCCGCTTCGCCGTCGCGTTGCGCGGCGCGGGCGTCGGCGCGACCGTCGCGTCGTCGGCGGCGCGGCCGATGGCGAAGAGCTCGGGCTGCGACAGGCGCAGCAGCTGGACGCAGGACACGACCCACGCGCCGGCGAGCAGCGCGCCGACGAGCCACGCCGTCGTGCCGCGGCGCGCGCCGCCGCGCGCCGCGCGCCGCGCGCGCGTCGCAGGCATCACTCACTCACGCGCATCATGCTCTCACAAAATAAAATCATCATGATGGGCTGCCTTTACGCTCTCTCTAGCGCATTAGGCGACGCACCCCGCCTACGCGCCTGCCTTGGGCGGACGCGGGCACTGGGGGCTGCTCTCGGAAGGGCGCGATACCCGCCACCGGCGTCGCCGCTCTCCCGACCACCGGGATCGCGTCTGGCCACGTGGGATCGCGCGGGGTCGCGTAGGATCGCGCGGGGTCGCGCGGCATCGGCGGGGACCGCTCCAGATCGCCCCGGGTCGCCGCGCGGCTCCTAGACGCGGCTCCGTGCCCCGACGCGTCCGCCCCGCGCGCGCGTCGAGGCGGCGGTGCTTAGGGGCCTCGTGTTCGCTCGGCGGCGCGACGGACGAGTCGGCGGCGGCGGGCTGCTTGCGGCGCGAGGCGGGCGACGCCCGCGGCGGGTTCGGAACGAGTGCGGGGGCGGGAGGCGTCCTCCGGCCTAGACGAGGCAGAACTCGCCGTAGTCGTCGCCGTGCGTGTTGCAGAGCGTGACCTTGGCCGCGTCGACGGCCTTGTGCGCCTTGGCCTTGAAGGCCGCCGCCTCGCCCTTTGCTGATTTGAAGAAGACGCGGCCGAGCTCGGACGTCATGATGCGGAAGGTGCGGTAGAGGTCGACGGGCGACGTGCCCTCGTCGAAGAGCTTCGCGATCTCCTTGACGCGGAAGACCTTGCCGTCGTCCTCCTCTGCCGCGAGCTCGTAGCAGATCTCGAGGACCTCGGGGTCGACGAGGCGCGCCGCCGACGTCGCCAGCACGTCCTCGAAGTCCTTGATGCGCTTCATGGGGCTCTTGTCGCCCTTGTCGCCGGGCAGCGGCGCCGCGCTGAAGTGGATGTCCTTGGGCGCGACGCCCGCGTGGACCTTCTCGTCGGCGGTGACGACGTCGTAGCGGAGGCCGCCCTTGGCCTTGACCATGTGCGCGTCGACGACGCCGATGCACGTGTGCTTGTTGAACTCGAACTCGACGATGGAGCCCTTGCCGAGCGCGTTGACCTCGACGGGCGCCGCGTCGCCGTCGGCGGCCTTGTCCTTCTTGGCGCGCAGCGAAGGCGGCGCCGCGCCCGGGGACGCGCGCAGGAACGCGCTGGCGGTCGACGCGACGGCGACGGCCACGATGAGCTTCATTGCGGTGCCTGCGTGCGACGAGAGCCTGTCAGAACCACTCATAGTGACACGCGTTTCCGCGCGACAAGCAAAAAAAAAATTGCGCCCCTTGTTCAAAAAATAAATACGCGACGCGCACGTTGCGGCGCGCTGCATTGCGAGCGGACGCCGGGTGCGCACGGCTGCGGAAGGACAAGATCGAGAGGGTGGAGCGGCTAGCTTCGACCTCGACCTTCTCACCTGCTGACACGGCACGTTCAAGGCAACACCTACCGCGCGCACGCGAGCTGATGCGAGTGCCCGAACAAACAGGCCCAATCTCCCGCTCTCCCCCCTCTGGCCAGCCGGCTCAGAGAAAAGCCCACAATTAAATCATTTGGCGATTTTGACAGAGTCCTTGACAGAGTTGGACTTGTTGGGCGTACCCCCCCCCCAAAAAAAAACCGACTCGTGCCTTCAACAGGCGTGCGCCACTCCCGGCGCCCCGCGTCGTTCGGGGAGAGTTAGGGGGGCGGGCGCCCCGGGTCACTTCTTCTCGTCGGCCGGGGCGTCGCCCTTGGCCGCGAGGGCGGCGACGGCGGCGTCGGCCTTGGAGTCGGCCTTGGCGTCCGCGCCGCCGTCGTGGTGCTTGTGCGTGAACCCGGACGCGCGGAACGCGCGCATCGCGGAGACCATGCGGCCCGCGAGCTTGAAGCGCTGGACGTTGGTCAGGGAGCGGCCGGACTGGACCTTGCGGAGCTTCGCCGGCGGGAGGTGGTGCTCGATCTCGTGCTCGTCGTCCTCGCCCGGGTGGCCGTGGCCGTGGTGCTCGTCGTCGTCGTTGTGGTGGTGCTCGTCCGTGTACTGGACCGTGTACTCGAGGTGGCCGTCGCAGAGGCTCCGCGTGACCTCGAGGACGATGGCGCTGTACCAGAGCGCCTCGTCGCGGGGCTGCGCCTCGACGCGGTCGCCGACCTCGAGCGTGTGCCAGTGGAACTTCTTGGCGATCTGCGCGCGGCCGCGGACCGTCGCGGCGGCGGCGGCGCGCGCGTCGAACGACGGGTCCCCCCCCCCCCCGCGGCGCGCTCGGCGCGCGCGCGCGACGCGTCCGAGCATCGCGCGAACCGACGGCGCCGCGACGGCGCGCGCGCGCCGCGACGTTCGGCTGGCGCGCGCGGGACCGGCGGTCGGCTTCGGCGCGGCCGCCGGCGGCGTCGAGGGGCACCCAGAGGTCCTTGCCCGCGTGCTCCTCCGTGTCCTCGTTGGTGATGTGGATCAGCGCGCGGCCCCGCTTCGCGTCCGCGTCCGTGACGACGCCCTCGCACCAGAGGTCCTCGCCGGGCGGGCGGCACCTGTGTGGAAACCGACCGGTGGAACGCGCCGTCCGGCAAAAACTTCAAACCTCTCGAGCTCGGCCAAATCGACGTCGATTCGGCTGATTCTTGGACGAATCGATTGCTCTCGTCGAGGCCTCGAAGCACAGCCCAAGAGTCAGGCGCAATCCGTTCGATTACGCGCACATTGAAGTCGGGTTGAAGATTTGAGTTCCGCGCGGGGCGGCACGTGACGATGTCGCCGACGACGAGCGGCTCGCCGCCGACGAACGCCGTCGCGCGCGGCGACACGGGCGTGTCCTCGACGGCCTTGTCGTCGTCGCCGTGGTGCGCGTCGTCGTCGCCGGGGCCGTGGTGGTGGTCGATGGCGCACTTGATCGCGTCGCGGCCGCCGACGGCCGCGAAGGGCAGGCTCGCGCGGTTGAACGCGTGGCAGGCGACGACGGCGTGGAAGGCCTCCTTCCAGCGCTTCACGGCCGTGGACCGCGCGCTCCGCACCTTGCGCACGCGGCTCGGCGCGACGTCGGCCTCGACGTCGGCCTCGCCGTCGTAGGCGACGTCGTAGCGCGGCTCGCCTGGGCGGGAAACGAAACTGTTCACACACGACGTCAATGCGGTTTCGACATGCTTTCTTCACGGTCTGAAAAGAGCTCGCCGAGAGAAAACGACTCGTCCAAAAATCAGCCCAAACGACTTCGATGTGACCGAGCTGGAGCCGTTTCGCCGGACGCGTCCATTCCGCGGGTCGTTTCCGGCGCGGCGGCTCGCCCTCGTCCCCGAAGTTCACGGCGTCGACGGTGCCGAGGAAGAGGAGGTGGGAGTGCTCCTCGCGCACCTGCACCGTGTCGCCGACCTCGAGGACGCTCCAGCTGAGCACGCGGCGGCACGCGCCAGCGTCGACGACCTGGATGTCGTGGTCCCCAAAGTCGACGTGCGCGCCCTCGGCGTCGACGTGCGTGACGACGCCCTCGAAGTAGAGGCCGTCGACGGGCGCCTGGACGACGTCGCCGGCCGAGATGGCGTGCGGGTGCGCGTCGTGGCCGTCGCTGAGCCACTGGTCGTACTCCTTCTTGAGGGTCGCGTAGAGCGCGTCGCGCTCAACATCGCTCCCGAGGGCCGGCGACTCGCCGTCGTAGCGCGCCTTGAGCCGCGCGTAGATCGCCTGCTCCTCGGGGTCGCTCGACTCCAGCGGCGCCTCCTTGGCCGACGCGCCGGCCCCCATGGCGGCCCCAGCGCGCGCTCTCACAAAACAGAGTCGTTGCCGATAGATTCTTAAGTTAGACTTAACGGCACGTTGGCCCTTCGGGCGCCGTGCTTAGCGGAGTGCTTAGCGCGCGCGCCGCGCGCCGCCTACTCCTCCGCGGCGGCGGCGGCGGCCTCGTCGCGGTCTCGCTGGAGGACCATGGAGCCGTCGATCTTCGCGAGGTTCGGGAGCCGTCGGAGGATCTCGATGCGGGACTCCGCGGCCGTGAGGCCCTCGTACATGGGGTTGCCCACGAAGAGCACGTCCTTCAGGTTCGGCAGGCCCGCGATCTTCTCGAGCTCCGCGAAGTTTTTCAGGTTGTTGTTGCTCATGTAGAGCGTCGTCAGCTTCGTCATCGCGTGGAGGCCCTCGAGCGCGCTGATCTGGTTGTAGCTGATCCAGAGCTCCTCGAGCGAGTCGCCGAGGTCGTCGAGCTTCTCGATCTTCTTGATGACCTGCGCCCGGCGCCCGCGCGGTCGCGCCGGCGCGGTCGCGCGCGCGGGCCCCCGGCGCGCGGTCCGGCCGCGCGGCGGCCGAGGCGGCCCCGAGCGCGCGAGTGAGACGCGCCGGCGACGACGTTGCGCCCCAGGGACAGGATCTTGAGGTTCTTCAGCCCCGTGAACGCGAGGCCGATCTTGTCGATGTTGTTCGTCGACAGCTGCAGGTGCCTGCGCGCGCGCGCGCGGTCGCCGGCGGGCCGCGCGCGCGTCGCGCGCGCGCGGCGGCGGCCCCGGCGGCCCCGGCGGGCGCCCCGGCGCGCGGCCCCGGCACCCGGCCGCGGCGCGGCGCCCGGGGACCGGCGGGACGCGGCGGCGCGCTCGCAGGCCGCGAGGTTGTTCAGGGAGCTGTCGAGCTTGGCGATGGGCGGGATCTGGCAGTAGAGCTTGACGATCTTCGCGTCCGACGCCGTCTCCCCGGTCTTCTCCTCGAACTTCTTGATCGCCGCCGCGCACGTCGTCATCCTGGCGCGGGCGTCGACCACCGGCGGAGGCGGGCGGTTAGAGCGCGCTGCTAGAGACGCGGGGGCAGCCTCCGAGATATGTGTACTGCACCTTAACGCCATTGGGCCGTGATGGCGCGGCGCCCGCGGGGCCGGAGGCGGCGGTGAGCGCGCCATGGGCAACCTCTTGAGCTTCAGCGTGCCGCCGACGGCCGACGACCGCATCGTCAAGGCCATGCAGACCTTTGGCATGAAGCAGCGCGACATCGCCGTGCTCTGGTCGGTCTTCAAGAAGCACGACACGAAGCGCCTCGGCGTCATCTCGACGTCGGTCTTCTACACGGACATCCTCTTCACGCAGCGGACCCTCTTCTGCGACGGCCTCTTCGACCTCATCGAGGGCGCGGACCCGGAGGCCATCGACTTTGGCGAGTTCGTCGCGGCGATCACGACGTTCTGCTTCTTCGAGATCCCGGAGATCCTGCAGTTCTGCTTCTACGTCTTCGACCGCGACAAGAACGGCTACATCACGCAGGAGGAGATGCGCCTCTTCGTCGACGCCATGCACTGCGGCAACATGTCGACGAACGTGCAGTACGCGCTCGACAACATCCGGTACGAGAACAGGGCGGGAAAAGAGTGATTCAAGGTCGCTTCGACATGAGTGTTCCGCGCGCGACCGTTCCGGAAAAGCATCCACGCTTCGAGAACGCTCCGAGAGATGATCGCTCGTCCAAAAATGAGCCGAAACGAGTGGAACATGACCGAGATGTCAGTATCCAAAGTTGGGAATTTCCTGCCAGGTACAAGAAGGACGGCAAGTTCGACTTCGAGGAGTTCACGTCCATGCACAAGCAGTACCCCGCCGTGCTCTTCCCCGCCTTCTCCCTCCAGAACTGCATGATGACGCAGATCGGCGGCGAGGGCTGGTGGAACCGGAAGAAGATCGAGCTCTCGATGAAGAAGGAGGACCTCCGCTCCGCGGCCGCGAACAAGGAGGTCAAGGAGAAGGCCGACGCCTACAAATACCGCGACGCCCAGATCCGAAGACACATGGGCTTCGTCAAGTACCACGTCCTCCCCCACCACCGCAAGAAGTACTACGAGATCTACCCGCTCCCGCGCAAGTACCGCGCGCTCGAGGCCGCCAACGCCAAGGTCCACCCGAAGCTCGACGACGACGACGAGAACGACAGAAGCCACGCGCGCGTGGGTATTCGAACCTACACCGGACAGAAAACAGCACAGGGGAGGTCAATATCGTTCGATGTGTCAAACTGTAACGGCAATATATACGGGGCTGCCAAAATCGAATCGGGACGCGCACACCGCAGCCGCAGAGATCGAATCCGACAGCACGAACTCCTCAGACATGTTCCGGCGCGCGCCGCGCGCGTGCGCCGGCAGAAGGCTGTGTTCCGGAGCGCGCGACTCCCGGCGCGTTCCGGCCGTTCCGGCGTACCGGTGCAGCCCCCAGACGCTGTTCCGGCGACGCCTGCCCTCGAAATTTAGCGGAACATGGTTCCGGAACATGAAACCTCAACTTCGCATGTTTCCCGCCGTCGTCGGCGCCCCTTTATTGGCGATCCTTTAAGTTCGGCGCGAGCCCGTACTTCCCGAACTGGGGTGCCCCTTCAAACTCGGTCATCTTCCCCGCGCGCGCAGCTCCTGAAAAAATCCGGTGTTTCACAGTGGGCGGGCGCCGACGGGAGCCGGAGGCCATCCACCGTATCCACGATGTCCAGTAACACGTGCCGTACCATCGACTCGGGGCAGGTTGCTGGTGGAGGTGCTCGTCGGGGGGACGACGCCGCGTCGACCTGGGTTTCGACAATGTGGCACGGGCGCCTCGCGAGCCGCCGCGAAGGACCGGAGACCCGTGGCGTCGAACCGCGGAGCGGCTGGTCAGGGTTGCCCGAGCTCGAGACCCCTCCACGTCGAGACCACCGGGCTAGACGTCCCAGTCCCACGTTGAAGCCCCATCAGTACGCCTGGACATCCTCTCACAGGCCTTCGCACTCGGCATCCGTTGGGGCTGATGATGCAGTTTTATATTCAAAGAGGAGGTGCTCTCGCCTGATGGGCACATCTGCCGACAACTCCAAGTGCACAACCATGGCCGCCACGGAGTCCTTCGTCGCCGCGGCGCTCGAGGGTGGCACGCCATTCCGGCTGTACCGGCGCGGCGTCGTCGACGAGGCGGCCTGCTGCGCCGTGGGGTCGGCCATCGCGTCGGCGACGAAGGCGGCGGGTCCCGTGGCGGTGCAAGCGGAGCACTGCTTCAACGTCACGGCGGCGGCCATGAGCGCCGGCGACGCCCGGGCCGCGGCCAAGACGCTCGTGTGGCTGCTCAGCGAGACCTACGCGCCGGAGGACGTGGGCGCGGCGTCGTTCCTCGGCGAGGCCGTGAGCGTCGAGGTCGGCCCGCGGCCGGCGTTCGCGAGCGCGTGGTCGTCGACGGCCGTGCAGATCGCCGAGGCCTGCGGCGTGTCGGGCCTGCGGCGCGTCGAGCGGAGCCGGCGCTACGCGTGCGCGGCCGGCGGCGCGCGGCTCGGCGCGGCCGCCGTCGCGGACCACGTGCACGACCGCATGACCGAGTGCGTCTACGAGGGCGGCGCGGCGCCCTTCTTCGCCGAGGCCGCGGCGCCCGCCGCGGACACGGCCGTCGGGACCGTGGACGTCGTCGCGCGCGGCGCGGCCGCGCTCAAAGACGCGAGCGACGCGCGGGGCCTCGGCTTCGACGCGTTCGACGTCGAGTACTACGCGGACCTCTTCGCGACGAAGCTCGGCCGCGACCCGACGGACGTCGAGCTCTACGACATGTCCCAGTCCAACTCGGAGCACTCGCGCCACTGGTTCTTCTCCGGGCGCCAGGTCGTCGACGGCGTCGAGAAGGACAAGTCGCTCTTCCGCCTCGTCAAGGCGACGCTCGAGGCCGCCAAGGCCGCCGCGGCCCGCGACGGCCGGGACGACGTGAGCGTCATCGCCTTCCACGACAACTCGAGCGCCATCGCGGGCGGCGCCGCGACGGTGCTCGTGCCCGAGGCGTGCGAGGCCGCGGACAAAGCCGTCCGCGGCGACCTCGGCGGCGCGCCGCCGCCCGCGGCCTACGGCCCGTCGCGGCTCGTCGAGACGCAGCGCACGCTCCACAGCCTGCTCACGGCGGAGACGCACAACTTCCCCTGCGCCGTCGCGCCGCTGCCGGGCGCGGAGACGGGCGCGGGCGGGAGGCTCCGCGACGTGCAGGCGACGGGCCGCGGCGCGCACGCCATGGCCGGCGTCGCGGGCTACTGCGTGGGCAACCTCCTGCTCGACGGCCACGCCATCGCCGGGGAGGATCCCTCGAGAGCCTACCCCGCGCACCTCGCGTCGCCGCGGCAGATCCTCCGCGACGCGTCCGACGGCGCGTCGGACTACGGCAACAAGTTCGGCGAGCCCGTCGTCTGCGGCTACTGCCGGTCCTTCGGCGGCGTCGACGCGGCCGGCGACCGCTGCGAGTGGCTCAAGCCCGTCATGTTCTCCGCGGGCGTGGGATGGCTCGACGCGCGCCACTGCGCCAAAAACGCGGCCGCGCCGGGCATGGCCGTCGTCAAGGTCGGCGGGCCGGCCTACCGCATCGGCCTCGGCGGCGGCGCCGCGTCGTCGCGCGTCTCCACGGCGGAGCGCGCGGACCTCGACTTCAACGCGGTGCAGCGCGGCGACGCGCAGATGTTGAACCGCATGAACCGCGTGATCCGCGCGTGCGCGGAGCGCGGCGCGGCGAACCCCATCGTGTCCATCCACGACCAGGGCTGCGGCGGCAACGGCAACGTGCTCAAGGAGATCGTCGAGACCCACGGCGCGCGCTACGATTTGGCGCGGCTCTCGCTCGGCGACGCGACGATGACGCCGCTCGAGCTCTGGGGCGCCGAGTACCAGGAGTCGAACGCGCTCCTCGTCGACCCTCGCGACATCCCCCTGCTCCGGGCCATGGCGGAGCGCGAGCGCTGCCACGTCGACGTCGTCGGCGAGGTCGCCGCCGACGGCCGCGTCGTCGTCGTCGACAGCCGCGGCGGCTCCGACGCGAAGATCGTGGACCTGCCCCTGGAGCTCGTGCTCGCGGACATGCCCAAGAAGGTCTTCGAATCGACGACGCCGGACGTGGCCCCGACGCCGCTAAACGTCGCGGCCGCGGCGCTCTTCGGCGGCGGACCGCCGGACTTCCGGGCGGCGCTCGAGGGCGTTTTAGGCCTGCCCGCGGTCTGCTCGAAGCGCTTCCTCGTGCACAAGGCGGACCGGTCCGTGACGGGCCTCGTCGCGCGCCAGCAGTGCGTGGGGCCCTTCCAGCTGCCGCTGAGCAACTGCGCGGTCCTCGCGCGGAGCCACTTCTCGACCGAGGGCGTCGCCGTCGCCGTCGGCGAGGCGCCCCAGCTCTCGGCGCTGAGCCCGGCGCGCATGGCGCGCCGCGCCGTCTGCGAGATGCTCACGAACCTCGTTTCCGCGCCCGTGAGCGACCGCCGCGACGTCCGGCTCTCGGCGAACTGGATGTGGGCCGCGAAGCTGGAGGGCGAGGGTTCCCGCATGTACGCGGCCTGCGAGGCCATGTGCGACGCCCTGATGGCCGCGGGCTGCGCCGTCGACGGCGGCAAGGACTCGCTGTCCATGGCCGCGAGCGACGGCGCGGGCGCCGTCGTCAAGGCGCCGGGAGCGCTGACGCTGACGGCGTACGCGCCGTGCGTCGACGTCGCGCGCGTGCTCACCTGCGACCTCAAGGCCGACGACGGCGTGCTCGTCCTCGTGGACCTCGCGGGGGCGCCGACGCTCGACGTCGGCGGCTCGGCGCTCGCGCAGGCGCTCGGGCAGCTCGGCCGCGACGCGCCCGAGTCGGACGTCGAGGCGACGGCCAGGGCGGGACAAGGGTGATTCAACGTCGCTTCGACGTGAGTGTTCCGCGCGCGCGCGTTCTAGGAAAAGCATCCACGCTTCGAGACCGTTCCGAGAGATGATCGCTCGTCCAAAAGTCAGCCGAAACGAGCGGAAAATGGCCGAGAGAGGAGCCTTTGAAGTTGGGAATTTCGCACCCTTTTCCTGCCCAGGCGACGGCGCGCGCGTTCGACGCCGTGCAGGCCCTCCACAAAGCCGGCGACCTCCTATCGCTCCACGACCGCAGCGACGGCGGCCTCGTGACCTGCGTCCTCGAGATGGCCTTCGCGGGCGGCCGCGGCGTGACCGTGGACGCGCCGCGCGCGGCGACGACGGAGGGCGACGTGCCGCCGGCCTGGGCCGCGCTCTTCCACGAGGCGCCGGGCCTCGTCCTCGAGGTCGCGCCGGAACGCGTCGCCGCCGTCCTCGCCGCCTTCAAAGCCGCGGACGTCGACGCGGCCGTCGTCGGCCGGGCGACGCGCGAGCGGACCGCGCGGATCGCCGTCGCGGGCGCCGCGGTCCTCGACGCGCCCGTGCTCGAGCTCTGGGCCGCCTGGGAGGCGACGGCCTTCGCCATGGAGCGCGTCCACGGCCGCGACGGCGCCTGCGTCGACGCGGAGATGGCGACGCTCGCGGCGCGGACGCCGCCGAAGTACGCGGTGCCCTTCGCCGCGGCGCCGGCGGCCACGACGCCGTCGCGGAACGCCAAGCCCGTGGCCATCCTGCGCTGCGAGGGCTCCAACGGCGACCGCGAGATGGCCACGGCCTTCCACCTCGCGGGTCTCGAGCCCTGGGACGTCGCCGTCGCGGACGTCGCGTCCGGCGCGGTGACGCTCGACCGGTTCCGGGGCATCGCCTTCGTCGGCGGCTTCTCCTACGCCGACGTGCTCGATTCGGCCAAGGGCTGGGCCGGCGCCATCCGCTTCAACGACGCGCTCCGGCCCCAGTTCGAGGCGTTCCGCGCGCGAAGCGACGTCTTCTCGCTCGGCGTCTGCAACGGCTGCCAGCTCCTCGCGCTCCTCGGCTGGGTCCCGGGCCTCCCGGCCTGCGACGCGGCCTACGAGACGCAGCCGCGCTTCGTCCACAACGCGTCGCGCAAGTTCGAGTCCCGCTGGCTCTCGGTGGCCGTCCTCGAGTCGCCGGCCAAATTGCTCGCGGGCATGGCCGGCGCGACGCTCGGCGTCTGGGTCGCCCACGGCGAGGGCCGCGCCCACTTCCCCGACGCCGACGTCGAGCGCGCCGTCTTCGACGGCGGCCTCGCGCCCGTGCGCTACGCGGACGACGCCGGCGAGCCGACGGACGCGTACCCGTTCTGCCCGAACGGCGCGGCGCGCGGCGCGGCCGCGCTCTGCTCGCCCTGCGGCAAGCACCTCGCCATGATGCCCCACCCGGAGCGCTGCGTGCTGCCCTGGCAGTGGCCCTACAAGCCCCCGGGCCTCCCGGGCCTCGAGGCCGCGTCGCCCTGGATGAAGCTCTTCCAGAACGCGAAGACGTTCCTCGACGCCGTCGACCGCGACGCCGAGGACGACTGCGCGCCCGTGCCGGGCTGCTGCAACTGAGGCGCGCGCGGGCGCGCCGCGCCCCGCCCCCCGCGAGCACAAGGCTCGCCCTAAGGCCTCTCCCGCGGTGGCGCGCGCGCGTCACTTGGGCCCGATGACGGGGATGACCTTGCGGCCGCTGTCGTCGACGGTCATGGTGCCGAGGCCGATGGTGACGATCTGGCCGATCTCCTTGCGGCAGAAGGGGCACATGCCCGACGTGACGCAGACGTCGATGCTGCAGTTGTAGCAGCAGCCGCCGTGGCCGCAGTCGAGGATCACGGCGTTCTTCGCCTTCTCGAAGCAGATCGTGCAGGCGTCCGTCGGGTCCAGCAGCGACTCGGTCTCCGCCGTCGACTCGTCGTCGTAGATGAGCTTCTCCGACGCGCCCTTGGCGCAGTCGACGCCCTTCTCGACGTCGCCGTCCGCCGCCGGCGCCGACGACGCGAAGAGGCTCGAGAAGCCCTGGGAGAGCTTCTCGCTCACGGCCGCCGTGTAGGTGTCGCCGTCGCCGCGCCGCGCGACCTCGAACTGGTTGTCGTTCTTGAAGACGAGGTGCGCGGGCTTGGCCATGCTCCGCATGCGATTGTGCGCGTCCACGCGCTTGCGGCCCATGTCGATGGGCTCCTCGCCGGCGACCTCGTCGAAGTTGTCCCGCAGCTCGAGGGCGAGCATCGTGAGCCGCGTGAACCCGATGCCCACGAGCGCCACGACGATGAGCGAGATCATCATGGTCGCGGCGCGGCTGCCCGCGCCGCGCCGAGCCGCGCGCGGAGCGGCGGGCTCGGGGCTGCGGCGACCGGCGCGGACGTGCGGCGGCGGCGAAGGCGGCCCGGGGCGGTCGCGACGGGCGCGCCGCGCTCAACAGCGGGCGCCGGGGCGGACGACGCACATCATCCCCGATCCGCTCTGTGGTATCTTCTGTAAGATGCCTTTATTGAAAACTTCACTGAAACCTGTCTTCGAAACGACGGAACAAACACGATGCGAGGCGCGGACGTGAAGCAGCAGGAAGGTGTTACGCCGGGGGCGCCGCGCGCCCGGTCAGGGCGCGGGCGGCTTCTTGGGCTTGGCGGACATGTAGAAGCCGCGCGCGGTGTCGACCTCGTCCTCGTTGGAGCCGCTCCTCTCGGGCCGGCCGATGAGGTCGTCGAAGGACTCGGAGTCGTTCCGCGCGCGCGGGTTCGACGGCGACACGGCGCTCGCGGGCTCGACGGGCGCCTTGCGCGGCGCGCGCGCGGGCCCGCGCGGCGCGGCCGCGGGCCTCGCGGCCGCGGCCTTGAGCTCCGTCGCCTTGGCCTTGCGGTCGGCGTCGCGCTGGGCGCGCTGGGCGGACCGGAGCGCGTCGGCGAAGGCCGCGAGGAAGGCGTGCATGGTCTCGAAGACGTAGGTCGGCTGCCCCGCGGCCTGCGTCGACTCGCCGAAGTACTCGCAGAGCGCCTTGAGCCGGAAGCCCATGGGCCCGAGGTGCTTCACGCTCAGGTACTCGAGCTTGCGCTCGGCCTGGCCCGTGAAGTCGCGGAGCCGCGCGACGGCGCGGCCCCGCGCGGCCGCGCACGCGCCCGCGCCCGCGGCGCCGCCGTCGTCTAATCGCTTCGACGGGCTGCCCCCGAAGGACGCCTGCGGCCGGTAGCCGCCCCGCGAGTCCTCGGCGTTCATGTCCCGCGCCTCGCCGCGCACGAGGGCCCGCTCGGCGCCGCGGAGGTCCCGCTCGGCCTCGCGGAGCACGTCGCGCGCGCGGACGACGCCCGACCGTAAATCGCCGACGGCCTTCTCGTGCTCGCCGATGGGCACGCGCGCGGCCGCGGCGACGGGGCCGCCGAGCGTGCGCACGACCTCCTCCATGGCCGCGCCGTGGCCCCGCTTCAGCAGGCCCTGGACGACGTAGTCCAGCACCGTCGTCCGCCGGTCGCGGCCCTTCGTCTTCACGATGGCTAGGAGGCTTCCGAGGCGGATGCCCCGCGCGTCGCCCTTCTTCGTGCCCGCGTTCATGACGTTGCCGACGGCGAGGATGCGCTGCAGGATGAGCGTGAGGCCCCGGCTCTTGACGAGGATCGCCGCGGCCGTCGTCACGGACCCGCAGGCCCGCTCGACGTCCGCGACGTGGTGCGCGAACGCCGCGCGCGACGACGCGGCGTCGAGGTAGCGCGCGTGCATGGGCTCCCGCGCGGCGCTGAGGACGAAGCGCTCCGCCGTGGACAGGGCCTTCTCCGCGGCCCCGGGGTCGTCGGCCGCGGCGACGTGCTTGAGCACGGAGTCGCACTCGCTTCGCGTCGGGAGCACGGCCTGGAGCCGCTCGAGGGCGTCGGGCAGGAGGCGGGGCGACAGCTCGGCGACGGCGACCCAGAGCAGGTCGAAGTCGCCCTTGAAGGCGCGCTTGAACTTGGAGAGCGCGATCGTCATGTTCTGCGCGCGCTTCCCATCGACGAGCGTCGACGCCTTCGCGCTCGCGGCCCGGGGCCGGCGCTGGGTGACGTCGACCTGGCTCTCCTTGGCGGCGAAGATGTCGTTGAGCATGGCGACGTCCTCGTGGTCGAGCGCCGCGTGGTCGCCCGGCGCGTCGTCGTCGTCGTCGTCGAGGCCGCCGTCCTCGGGCGCCTTGGACGCGGGCGTCGCCCAGACGGAGTTCTCGGCGTTGGCCGCGCCGTCCATCTTCTCCCAGTGGAGGGCGATGGTCGCGCGGCGCTGCTTGCGCTTGCCCGCGGCCGCGGGCGAGTGCTTGTCGGGCGACGCGCCGGCGGCGCCGCGGCCGTGCGCGGCCCGGAAGCGCTCGACGACGCCCGCGTCGACGTCGTCGGCGGCCATCTTGGACAGCACGCCCTCGACGGTGACGCCGAACTTGCGCATCTTCAGGTAGGGCGCCAGCGCGGCCGCGTCGTCGTCCGCGGGCGCCGCCGGCGGTGCCGGTGCCGCGGCCGCGGCGCCGCCCGCGCCCCCGCGGAGCGCGGCGTCGATGTCGGCCTTGGAGCAGCGCTCGGCCTTCATCTTCGCCTCGACGGCAGCGGCGGGGATGCCCATCTTGAGCATCTTCTTGAACTTGGCGACCGTTTCGTTGTCGTCGGACGGCGGGAAGGGCGTCTGCGCGACGCAGTCCGGCGACTTCGACGGCGCGTCGCCACCGCCGCCGGGCGTCGACGGCGCGCCCGCGCCGCCGGAGCCGCCCCCGGCGCCGGAGCCGCCGCGGCTCAGGTTCGCGCCGAGCGTGTCGAGGTCCTTGGCGACGCGCCTCGCGACGATGTCGCTCCAGCCCTTGTCGACCTGGGCAGGACAAGAGTGATTCAACGTCGCTTCAACTTGAGTGTTCCGCGCGCGCGCGTTCCGGGAAAAACATCCACGCTTCGAGACCGTTCCGAGAGATGATCGCTCGTCCAAAAGTCAGCCGAAACGAGTGGAAAACGGCCGAGATCGGAGCCTTTGAAGTTGGGAATTTCGCTCTCTTGTCCTGCCCTGTTGTCGACGAGCGCCGCGGCGAGGTCCTTCTTCGCGAGGCCGCTCACGAGCAGGCTCACGGCGACGCCGTAGGCGATCTGCGCGTCCTCGTCCTCCATCAGATCCCCGGGGACCGCGTCCGCGGCGTCGTCCGGTGTTTTCGTCGCGACGTCCGCCCACGCGTTCTCCGCCGGCGACGGGTCGCCGCCGTCGATGTCCATGGACAGGAGCGCCGCGAGGCGGTCCGCGCCGGCGCTCCTCTTGAAGATGCCCGACCCCCGCCGCTGCTTGGCCGGGGAGGGCGCGTCGAATTCGAGGGCCCGCGGCGACGCGACGAAGACGTCGGCCTCCTCGGGCCGCGGGCTCTCGCAGACGGAGCAGGTCCCGAAGTCGCCCGCGCCCGCCTCGCGCACGTTCGTGAAGGTGCACGTCGGGCAGGTCCAGCACTCGTTGCCCGCGGTCCGGTCGGCCTCGTCGTCCTCGTCCTCCAGGTGGATGAGCATGACGTCGCCGTCGCCGCCGTCCGAGTCGCCGCCGTCGCTCCCGCTCTCCGGCGGGCTCGCGGTCCGCAGCGAGTCGTTGTCCGGGAGTCCCACGGAGATCCGCACGTCCTCGACGCCGGGGCCGTCGCTCGCGTCGTCGCCGTCGTCCGCGGGCAGCGCGGTGAGGACGATCTCCGCGGCGGGCGCGGCCGGCGCCGCGCGCGGCCGCGGGGGGGCGACGTCGTCGTCGGAGTCCTTTTCCTTTCGCTCCTCGCGGGTCTCCAGCGCGAAGAGGTCCGACGCGCGCTTCGCGAAGGAGTCGGGCGGCGCCCTGTCCTTCTTCCGGCCGGCGGCCTGACCGAAGAGGCTGTTCACCGAGGGAAAGAAGGACGAGCTACTTTTTTCGTCGTCGACGGGCTTGCTGCTCCACCACGGCGCCTGGGCCGCCTCGACCATGGACGCGTACATGGCGGGCGACGCGCGGGCGCGGCCGCCGGGCCGCGGGCGGGCGGGGGAGCGCGGCGGTGGCGTCGCCCGGGGAACTGCGATCCGACGAGCCCGGCCCGGGCCGCGCGGCGGCGGCGCGGACGCGGCCGAGGGTCCTGCGGCGCGCCCCGCCCGGGGGTCGGCCTGGGGCTGGCGCGCGTATGGAAGGCCGAGGACGGTGGCCGCCGTCCTCGAGCTGCGGGCAGCCCCGAGGTGTGTGCTGCAAGGACTTGGATTTGGGGTTGATGGTGCCGTAAGCTGACTAGGCAGCAGCGGTGCGTCGTCCGAGAGCTTCATCAAGCAAGCAGCGTCACGCCGCGCCGCCGCCGTCGCAGTGCCACAGCACGCGCCTCACGCACTCACGCACTCACGACAAACGCAAACCATGCCGTCGCTCCGCGCCGCCGCGCTCCTCGTCGCCTGCGCCGCCTCCGCCGGCGCCCTCGTCGCGCCGCGGCCCCTCGCGGCCGCCGCCCCGGCGCGCCGCGCCAAACTCACGGTCCCGGCCATGTCCTACAGCGAGTTCGACGAGACGGGCATGCGCAAGTTCCGATGGAACCTCAACGTCGGCCGCCAGCCCTGGGGCTTCGCGCTCAACGCCGAGGTCTGGAACGGACGCGTCGCGATGATGGGCTTCGTCTGGGTCTGCGTCCAGGAGCTCGTCCAGGGCAAGGGCTGCATCACGCGCATCCAGGAGGCCCAGGGCTTCGGCGACCTCGTCGCGCCCATCGCCATCGGCGGCGTCTTCTTCGCGCTCGTGCTCGCGCTCGTGACCGTCATCGCGTCGTCGAACGAGGACGACTTCTTCGCGTCGGAGGAGATCCTCACCGAGCTCAAGAACCTGTGAGCCGCGCGGCGCGGCACCCCGGGGCCGGCGGGGCGCGGCCCCGTCGATAGAGACCGGTCCCTTCGAACGCTCGCGGCCGTCGCGCGGTCCGGGGCGCGGGGTCCGGGGCGCGGCGCGGGTCGCGAGCCGCGAGGGCGTCGGCGGGCGAGGACCTCCGGAGCCGGGATGGGACCGGCCCCTGGACCCGCGCCAGGTCGCGCGGGTCCACACGCGGCGCCGCGACCTCGACGTCCTGCGCTCCGTCGGCCGCCGGCTCCCCGCGCGGCTCGACCCGCGCGAGGGCCGGCCCCCGCGCGTCGGCGTCGACTTCCACACTGTACATATGGGTACCGTCGAGGCCAGCAGCAGCGCCTCGCTCTGGAGTTTCCTCCGCGCCGTCGCGTGCACGTGCAAGCGCGACACCCCGCACTGACCCCGCTGTAGGAAGCCCACTGGCACCACGTCGCTGCCCTCGCCGCTGACTCGGATCTCGTGCTGATGGCCGACGACGATGGCAAGCTGTGAGCAGAGCGCGCCCGCTGCCGAGCTGCGTCACCACCGGGCGACGATCGTCGCTCTCCAAGAAGCGAGGGCCATGTTGTCGCGCTGCGACCCGCCGAGGCGTCCGGACGTCGCTACCCCCCGCTAGATCCCGGCGGCAACAACGGCCCGAGCAATTCGGAGAACGATCGACTTCTAGCTCGGGGCGCTTCCTTGCACCTTCCCGATCGAGCACTGGCCACACGATCTGTGATCTGTGGCGAGCACAGGGTGTGTGGCCTGTGGCAGAGGATCTAACACCGCAACCATGGGCTACACGACCGTCGACCCCAACGAGACCGTGGAGATCCGCATGGGCGCGTCGGGCCCCGCGGCGCGGCCGCCGACGACCGTCGTGGAAATCTTCAAGAAGACCGTGAAGGAGTGCGGGTCCAAGGTGAGCATGCGCTGCGAGCGCGACGGCGCGTGGAAGGAGTGGACCTGGGACGGCTACCACGCGGACGTCATGAAGGTCGCCAAGGCGCTGCTGGCCCTGGGCGTCAAGGAGCGCGACGCCGTCGCCATCATCGGCTTCAACTCGCCCGAGTGGGTCTTCACGTGGATCGGCGCGGTGCTCATCGGCGCCATGGGCACGGGCATCTACGCGACGAACGGGCCCGACGGCGTCGCCTACGTCGTCGAGCACAGCAAGGCCAAGGTCGTCGTCGCCGAGGGCGCCAAGCAGCTCGCCAAGTTCCGCGAGGTCGACGCGGCGCGCCTCGCGTCCGTGCTCGCGTTCGTCGCGTACCTGCCCGAGGAGGCGACGCCGGCGCCCATCGGGAGCGCCCAGGGCATGAACTGGGCCGGCTTCCTCGCCTCGGGCGCCGGCGTGTCCGACGACGACGTCGAGGCGAAGGCGGGCGCGGTCGTCGCGGGCCAGTGCTGCTCGCTCATCTCAGGGCAGCAAAAGGGTGATTCAACGTCGCTTCAATGTGAGTGTTCCGCGCGCGCGCGTTTCGGAAACAGCACCCACGCTTCGAGAGCGCTCCGAGAGATGATCGCTCGTCCAAAAATCAGCCGAAACGAGCGGGAAACGACCGAGAGAGGAGCCTTTGAAGTTGGGAATTTCGCACCCTTTTGCTGCCCAGGCTCATCTACACTTCCGGCACGACGGGCAACCCCAAGGCCGTCATGATCAGCCACGACTCGCTGACCTGGACGGCCCACGTGGGCTTCATCGACGTCTTCAAGTGCACGTCGGAGGAGCACGTGCTCTCCTACCTGCCCCTGAGCCACATCGCGGGGCAGATGATGGACGTCGTCGCGCCGATACTGACGGGCTGCACGCTCCACTTCGCGCGGCCCGACGCGCTCAAGGGGTCCCTCAAGGACACGCTCGGCGAGGTGCGGCCCACGGTCTTCTTCGGCGTGCCCCGCGTCTGGGAGAAGTTCGGCGAGGCCATGAAGGCCAAGGCCGCGACGCCCGGGTCGATGAAGGACAAGGTCGCGACGTTCGCCAAGGGCTGCGGCGCGGCCAAGTACGCCGCCGCGGAGCAGGGCGACCCGGACCCGAACAACTGCATGGCGAACCTCGTCGCCGGCTCCATCTTCGGCAAGATCAAGGGCGCGCTGGGCCTCGACCGGTGCCGCCTCTTCGCGACGGGCGCGGCGCCGATCACGACGGACCTCCTCAAGTACTTCGGGTCCCTGGACATCAACATCCTCGAGCTCTTCGGCATGTCCGAGGTCACGGGCCCGACGAACATGTCCACCGCGGACAACTTCCGCGTCGGCAAGTGCGGCCTCCAGATCCCGGGCACGGAGACCGCGTGCGCGAAAGACACGTCCGAGGTCATCTTCCGCGGCCGCCACGTCATGATGGGCTACATGTACAACCAGGAGGCCACGGACAAGACCATCGACGCCGACGGCTGGCTCCACAGCGGCGACGTCGGCTCCATCGACGAGGACGGCTACCTCAAGATCACGGGCCGCATCAAGGAGATCCTCATCACCGCCGCGGGCGAGAACGTCGCGCCCGTGCTCATCGAGGACGAGATCAAGCGCCAGCTCGACTGCGTCGCCAACGCCATGGTCGTCGGCGACCAGAAGAAGTTCCTCACGGTGCTGCTCACGCTCAAGACGAAGCCCGACGCGGACGGCCTCCCGCTCGGCACCGAGCTCGCCAAGGACGCGGCGCTCTGCGGCTGCGCGACCATCGCCGACGCCGCCGCGTCCGCGGACTACAAGAAGATGATCGAGGACGGCCTCAAAAAGGCCAACGCCAACGCCATCTCCCGCGCGCAGAACGTCCAGAAGTTCGCGATCCTCCCCGTGGACTTCACGCAGGAGGGCAACGAGCTCACGCCGACGATGAAGCTCAAGAGGAAGGTCGTCCTCGAGAAGTACGCCGACGTCGTCGCCGGCCTCTACTGAGCGCCCCCGCAGGAGCCGAGTTCCATCCGGCCAGCTCCCCTCCCCCGCCGCTCGCGCGGAGCCCCATCGGTAACGCGGCGACGCGCCTCCCGCCCTATCACGCGCTCTTACCGCCCCGGTGCGTGCGCGCACGCGCGGAGCCCCAAACGCGCCGACGCGCCCCCCGCCCCATCACGCGCTCTTACCGCCCCGGTGCGCGCGCGGGTCCGCGGGCAGCTTCCGGTGCCCGGCCGCGGGGCTCGCGGTGCGCACGGACGCGCGGACGTGGTCCTCGAACGCGACCTTGCGGAGGATGACGTCCGCGAGGGACGTGTCCTGGCCCGCGAGGATGGCGAGGCCCGCGTCCTGGGGCTTGGCGGAGCCCTTGCCGACCGCGGGCCGGAAGTCGACCTTGCCGGACTCGCGCTTGGCCCTGAACTTGGCCGCGAGCAGGTCGGGCCTGGGCGGGACGAGGGTGCGACGCGCCCAACTTTGGAGGGTCCTCTCTCGGTCGGTTTCCACTCGTTTCGGCTCGTGTTTGGACGAGCGATCGTCCCTGGGAGCGCTAAAGAAGCGGGGATCCGTTCTCTGGAACGATCGCGCGCGGCACGCGCACGTCGAAGCGACGTCGCGTCGCCCGCGTCCCGCGCCGGGTCGCGCAGCGCGTCGCGCGCGACCTCGCCGCCGTCCTTGGCGATCCACGTCGTCATCATCGTGCGCCGCGTCGTGCGCCGCCGGGCCACGGGCTTCGGCGGCGGCGCCCAGGCGAGGCCGCCGACCCACTTGTCGTAGCCCCACTTGCGCTCGCGCGACCCGCGCTTCCGCTTCGTCCGCGCGCGCTCCTCCTCCACCAAATACTCGTGGCACACGAGGAAGTCCTCCTCGTCGACGCGGCTCACCGTCGCGAACTCGCGCGCGAGGTCCTCCTCCGCCGGGCTCAGCAGCTTCTGCTCGCCCCGCTTGCCGAGCGCGCGCTTCGTGACGTGCAGCGGCCGCAGCGGGAGCACGAACGGGTTCCGGCTCCCGAGGAAGAACCCAAAGTGCTTCACGGGGTCGATGTCCTGGAGCACGTCCATGTCGTCGCGCACGGTAAGCAGGTAGTTCTCGCCGCGGTGGAGGAAGGGCCGGTCGCCCACGGACACGCGCCAGCTCCGGATCGCCATGACGACGGCCAAGGTCGCCCTCCGGATGCCGATGAGCGCCCTGAGCGCCTTGGACTTGGGCCAGGGCTTGTTCTCCTTGTCGTACTCGATGACGTCGTAGATCTCGTCGAGCAGCACGTTGCGCTCGACGATGCGCTCGATGATGTGCCGCTCCTGGTGGTCCGTCTGCTCGAACTGCGTAAAGTAGACGTTCGACGTCGGGAGCTCGCCGTCGAGGAGCCGCTCCTTCTCCGTTCGTTTCCGCCGCACGACGCGCCGCAGGGTCTGGACGTCGCGGTAGGGCGACGGCACGGCGCCGGACATGGTCCTGGGCAGCGCCCGGGGCAGCGCCCAGCGCGGGAACGTCTGGCTTCTTGCCGGGGCTGCACCGACCGATGGTTGGCATGAGGCGCCTCCTCTTCGCGGCGGCGGCCGTCGCCGCGGATCCGTCGTGCGCGTCGCTCGACGACGTGAGCGCGGCGCTCGCGACGCTGCCGAGCGTCGTGAAGCCGCCGCAGCGGCGATCCGAGATGACGAGCCAGCTCCGGCTGCTCACGGAGCCGCCGCTGCCCGGCCTGCGGTCGCGCTGCTTCCGCCAGCGCATGGTCTACGCGCCGCCGCCGCCCGAGTGGTGGCGCGCCGAGCCCGGTGACGCCGCCGCGGCGCGGGGCCCGCTCGCGCCGGGCGAGCGCGTCGGCTGCCTGCCCGCCGTGCTCGTCATCGGCGCCCACAAGACGGGGACCACGGACATGTACCACCGCCTCGCGACGCACCCGGACGTGCTCGTGGACGCGTCGCGGAAGGAGTCGAACTTCTGGTGCTACGCGGGCCAGGACCGGAAGAACGGCTGGTACGACTACGCCGCGGGCGCGCTCGGCCCCGTCACGCGCGCCGTCGACGAGGCCTGGCGCCGGGCCCACCCCGCCGCGGGCGCGCCGCGCGTCGCGAACACGAAGGACGGCGGCGCCTTCGAGGGCGCCGTCGCGCGCGCGGCGGCGCTCGTGGGCCTCGACGGGACGCCCGCGAACACGTACTGCCGCACCGGCGGCGCCGGCCGCCAGGTCGCGCCGAAATTCGCGCGCGCCGCGCTCGGCGCGGGCGCGCGCGTCGTCGCCATGGTCCGCGACGCGGCGGACCGCGCCTACAGCGACTACAGGTACTTCGCGTCCTTCCAGCGCGCGCGCGGCGCGCCCCGCGAGAGCAGCTGCGCGCTCCCGAGGCTCCCGGGCCTCGCGCCGCCCTTCGTCTACCGCTACGCGCCGTCGCCGGACCACTTCGACGCCGTCGTCCGCTGGGAGGCGGCGCGCATCGACGCCTGCGCGGCGCTGGACTGGGACGACCGGAGCTGCGCGCTCTGGGTCTGCGGCGTGCTCGCGAATCCGCCGTTCGCCGCGTGCCCGCCGGGCCGCGTCCTCCTGGGCTTCTACGACGCGTTCCTCGAGCCCTGGGAGAAAGCCTTCAACTGCGGCGAGGCGCGGCTCCTGCGCGTCCGCGTCGAGGACGTCGCGCGGCGGCCGGCGGAGACGATGCGGCGCGTCGCGGCCTTCGCGGGCCTCGGCGGCGGCGCGGAGGCCTTCGCGGCGGCGAACCGCACGAGGCCCGAGGACGCCCACGACCGGGGGCTCCACCGCGGCACGCACCTCCCGCCCATGGCCAACGGCACGCGCGCCTTCCTCGACGCCTTCTACGCGAGGCACGCGGCGACGCGGCTGCCGGAGCGGCTGAGCTGCGCCGCGGCGCCGCCGCGGCGGCTCCCGACCTGGGAGAGGCCGCCCGGGGGGCTCTCCTAATCGACCGAGCGTACGCGCCCCGGGCGGCGCCGTCGTACGCTTAGGCGCCTCAGACGGCGTCGGCGACGGCGCCGTCGTGGCGCTTGTGGCCCCAGGCGCCGAGGAGGACGGCCTTGAGGCGCCGGTCGTGCTGGTACAGCGCCGGCTCGAACTTGAGGAACTCGAAGCGCTTGCCCACCTTGAGGATGTCGCCGCGCTTGTGCCAGGTGAAGCGCGGGTCCGTGACGAAGACGGCCCCCCAGAGCGGCGACGCGTCCAGCGGGACGGCCGGCGCGAGGCCCGCGCCGACGCCCGGCGGCCCCGTCGCGGCCCAGCGGATGAACTCGGAGGGGTTGATGACGAAGAACGTCGCCTTCGTCAGGCCCATCTCCCAGACGAGGAACGGCAGGTGCGCCACGTAGTGGCCGAAGAACGACTCCGGCACGTCGAGGGACCCGGAGAGCAGCTCGTCGCCCTCCCTCTCGTCGACGAACTTGAAGTCGAGCGTGTCGCCGGTGCGGTCCACCTGCATGACGCTGCCCTTGTGCTTGTCGCACCCGAGCAGGTGGCGGCCGTACTCGATGGGCAGCGCCTCGTCGAGCCACAGCTTGTCGATGTACTGGCGGACGCCCGGCCTCGTGTTGATCACGTTCACGCAGTGCACGGAGCCGCACGTGATCGTCACGCCCGGCTCGTCGGCGACGACGTAGACGACGACGAGCTCCTTGTAGGGGCCCACGGTCGTCTTCCGGTAGTTGACGACCCAGAACGTGCAGATCGCCCTGCCGGTCTTGGCGTTCGTGACGGGGTGGAAGCCGGCCGGGAGCCGCGACTTCACGGCCGCGGCGTCGGCCCAGCCGTGGATGAGGAGCGTGTCGGAGCTGTAGTTGTGGTAGGGCGTCGCGACGGTCTCCTTGAGGCCCGGCAGGTGCGCGCGGCCGCAGCTCGGGAAGCGCCGGAACATGTCGTCCTCCTTGGGAAACGCGCTCCGGACGCCCCAGCACGCCAAGAGCACGACGACGACGAGGGCGACGACGAGGATGGCCACCGTGAGGTCCAAGCCGAGGATCTCCTCGGGGACCGCCATGGCCGCGCGACGTCGGGCTGCCCCAGAAAAAAAAATCTAAACGAATCACTGCAACTTTCCAACTTGAAGGGCGCAATGGCTCATCGCATCCTCTGCGCGGCGCCAGCCGCAGCGCTCTGCGCGTTGCTGCCCAGCAGGCCAGCGACGCGCTGCGAAGCGCGCTGCGATGCAGCAGCAGCGACCGACGACCTGCGGCGCGACGGCTTCGTCGTGGTCCGCGGCGCGCTGCCGCCCGCGCTCTGCGCGCGCGTGCGCGCGGACCTCGTGGCGGAGTACGGGTCCGCGCTCGCCGGCGGCGAGGCCGGCCGCCTGACGCTGCCGCTGCCCCTCGACCACGCGGCGATGGCCGCGGTCCGGCGGCTCGTGGGGACCCACGCGGCGCTCTTCGTCGACGTCTTCGGCGCGGACGGGAGCCTGCGCACGCTGCAGGCCATCGTCGCGCTGCCCGGCGCCGCGCGCCAGCACATCCACGCGGACATCGACGCCGTCCCCGGCCTCTTCTACGGCAACGGCTTCGTCGCGCTGCAGGACGTTACTTCGGACATGGGGCCGACGCTCTTCTACCCCGGCACGCACACGGCGGCCTTCCACGCCGCGCGGGCCGCGCACACGGGGCGGCCCGCGACGATGTGCGAGGCGACGCGCGCGCCGCCCGGCGACCCGCTCGCGGACCTCGCGCCCGCGGCGATGGTGCTGCGCGCCGGCGACCTCGTCCTCTTCGACGCCTGCGCGCACCACCAGGGCACGGAGAACGCGTCGCGCGAGCAGCGCGTGCTGCTCCAGTTCTCCTTCCTCGCGGGCGGCGCCGACGCGCGGCGGCTCCCGGGCAACATCCGCTTCATGGCGTCGCCCGACGTCGCCGCGGGCGCCGTCCGCGTGCGCGACCTCCTTCCGGTGCGAGGGCGTTAATCGCGTTGGTTTTGGCGTGGGGTTCTTCGTGACCTTCGTCGCGGCGCACGCGGATCTTGGGTTTGTGGTTGTCCCAAGGGCGAGGTGCGCCGGGCGATGAGGCGTGGGATGCCATAGGCCTCTGTGGCAAAAAAAAACGTCCGGGAGTGGAAGGAGAGCGCGAGTCGTCCACTGTTTCGGCCTGCGGCCGTCGTCTCTATCGTCCACGAGCGGCCAGCGGTCGCTCCGGTTCGCGCCAGTCCGCCCGCAAAAGCCGTCGCCCCACCAAGCATTCACAAGTAGCCAAAAAAATCCGATGACCTTTCGCCGCCTGTTGTGCGGCGCACGATGCGCTTTGGCCGGCGGCGGCGCGTCGTTCGTTTCCTGCGACGCCCCGGACAAGGGACAACCGCGCCTCTTCTCGCGCCAAAAGCAGATGCCCTGCCCGCGCTACAGCACGCCGCTCGGCCGCCGCTACGTCGGGACGAGCGCCGCGCGGAGCAAGCGCGCGACGATGCTGATGAGCGACGCCGAGGTGTCGGCGACGGCGCGCATCATCAACAACTTCGTCGATCTGGACTACTACGACGAGGACGAGGAGCAGGAGATCTTCGAGTCCGGCGCGGCGCCGTCGAGATTTTCGCGCGACTCGCGAAACCGCCCGTCGAGCTTTTCGCGCGACCCGCGAAATCGCCCGTAGATATTTTCGCGCAACCCGCGAAAACGCCCGTAAATCCCCGCAGGTTCAGCGTGAGCCGCCTCGTGGAGGACCTGGCCGCGTCGCTGCCGAACGAGACGATCAACCTCGTGCACAGCGAGAGCGCGCTGCCGGAGGCCGACGCCGCGGCGTTCGAAAAGCGCATGTTCGACTGGCTCCTCGAGCGCGCGGACCTGCCCTACCTCGACGCCGCGGACCAGCGCTGCGTCATCCATTCCCTGCTGGTGCTCCTCATGCGGTCCATGCGCAAGCGCAAGAGCGCCGTGGGCGCTCTATCCGACCTCGAGACGCACCACCTCGTGCTCGACGTCTTCGTGAAGAGCACGATCGACATCTTCAACGACCCCGCGCAGCGCCGGCAATTAGCGGAGCGCATCGAGGCCTACGTGTCGGCCATTCCCTTTTTTCCCACGCCGGTCCTCGCGCACGTCATCGACTTCTTCTGCGGCCACGCGAGCGCCGTCATCACGCCCGTGCTCGTCGAGACCTACGACGAGCACCTGCGCCACAGCGACGCCTACGCGGAGATGGCGCTCCGGAGCGCCGGCGAGGTCGCCGCGGACGCGAAGCCCTTCGAAGCGCGGCTCCGCGCGAACCTCGCCCGGGCGCTCGCGAAGGAAACCGGCCGCTCGAGGGTCGCCGCGCTCGGGATGAACTTCATACCCGAACCCCACTTCTTCATCGACCCTTTCCTCGAGAGCATCAACACGGAGAAGCTCGAGGACGTCATGCGCTCGCTCGTGCTCGACGACGCGCTCCAGCGGGAGCTCGTCCACCGGCCGCTCCGGGTTCCGGACGAGGCCGACGGCCGCGCCGCGGCGTCCGTCGCCACCGCCGCCGCCGCCGCGGGCGCGGCGAAGCTGCGGCGGAAACGACGGCGCTAAGGCTCGCCGCGCCGAACCTCTCGCGCGCTCCTTTGCCGCGCGGGCGGCGAGAACACGTTGAATTTACATAAGGGGGGCGGGGGGGCCGCTGGCCGTCGCGCGCCTAGGGGTTGGGCCCGCGCATGCGCTTCTCGATGATGGCGACCCAGGCGGCGGCGTCGTCGGCGCTGTCCGCGCGGAACGGGTAGTCCGTGGCACCGCACGTCATGACGAAGCAGCTGCCGTCGCTCTTGTCGCCGGACGTGAGCTCGACCTTGGTGATCTTCGACACCTTGATGGCGTTCTTGAGCTTCGTGCGGTCCTCGGCCTTGTAGGACGCGAGCACGTCCTCGCGCAGCTCGAACCAGCGCTTCACCCACTTGCCCGAAGAGTCGACGCGCCAGAGCGTGCCCTCCTTCGTCGCCACCTCGACGACCGTCGCGGCGTCGCCGAAGAGGTCGCGGCTGCCCAGGGCCGACATGACCTTCTTCAAAAAGTCCATGGCGTCGGCGCGGATTCGCTCGGCGGCGGCGGCGGCGGCGCGCGAGGTGGTGCTGGAGAAATCGAGGGTCGCTCATTCGCTCGGACACCTGGCGCGTCGGGGGACGCGTTCGCGTGGCGCCCCGCCTGGACACGCCGCAAGCTAAAAGTAGGTCGTATGATTCAGCGGGTCGGGGTGGAGGTGGGCCTCGTCCAAGTCGATGTCGATGTGGAGGTCCGAGAGGGACGCCGCGGCCGGGTGCCGCGGCGCGGGCGCGGGCGCGGCACCCGCGCGCCGCGCGCCGACGCGGTCCACGCGCCAGCCGCCGGCCCGGCCCGCCGCCGCGGCGCTCCGCGCCGCGTCGACGTCGCGGAAGAGGACGACGCCGTCGTCGCCGTTGAAGCCGAGCTTCTGGACGGAGCCGAAGGTCGCGAGCGCGGCGCGCAGGTCCGACTCGCGCGCGGCGGCGTCGCCCCACGGTGCCCCGGTCCAGGACACGCGGACGCTGCGCTCCTTCGCCGGCGGCCGCGGGCGGCTCGACCTGGCCTTGGCCGCCGGCGCGGGCGCGACGGACCGGAGGAGCCGCTCCGTCGCGACGGCGTCCGCTTTCGCGTCGGCCGCCAGTTTCGCGAGCGCGTCCGGCGACGCGGCCGCGGGGCCGCCCTCGCCGCCCCGCAGGAGCGTCGGCGCGACGGCGACGGCGACGGCGGCCCAGCTCATGCGGTTCAGGCGCGACCGCTTCACGACCTTCGCGAAGTGCGCGGCGAGGCGCCCGAGGAGCTGGCGGTTGATCGGCGGCAGCTCCGCGACGAGCGCGCGCACGGCCGCGCGCTGCGCCTCGGCGTTGGACGGCGCGCCCGCCGGCGCCGTGCCGCGCCTGCGAACGCCGGCCGTCGCGGCGCGCGCGGGCTCCGTCGGACGCGGGCGGGCCTCGCGCGGCGGCGACGATCGCGGCGCGCCGCGTGTAGGTGCTCAGGGGCTGGTGCGACCGCAGGACGACCTTGATGGCGCCCGTGATGGCGTGCGCGTCGTCCTCCTCGATGGCGCGCTCCACCGCGCGCGCGGCCACGTCCTGCGGGCGGCGCGCGTCCCTTCGCGCTCGCGCGGTGTCGGGGCGGGCGCGGGCGCCGCGCGGGCGGGCCCATGAGGTGCGCGTGGAGCGCGGCGATGCGCGTCGACGAGCCGCTCTCGCGCCAGAGGCCCTCGGAGCACATGGCGCGCTCGTCGGCCTCCATGTGCTCCAGGGCCGTGCGCACGGCCTCGGCGGCCCGCGAGCCGATGGTCGGCAGCCAGCCCGCCTCGTGGCCGTCGCTCGCCTTCGTCTCGGCGGCGCCGGCGCGACTCGGCGCGTCGTCCTTCGGCTTGCGCCGCCACCAGCCGCTCATCGCCGCTGGATCCTGCCTTTAGGCAGTGCCCATCACGTTGGGGCAGCAGGGGCAAGCAGAGCGAAACATGGGAAACATCGGCATTTTGAACCATCATCGCATGGTCTTGCCATCGAAAGCTCTTGCTGCCAACTAGGGCGCTTTGCTTTGGCCATCGAGAGCTCTTGCTGCCAACTAGGGCGCTTTGCTTTGGCACACAAGCCCTATCAATGCCCGGCGTGCTCCTCGCCATGCTCCGACGTGCATTCAGCAGCGGCGCTGCGCCGTTGCGCCTCGCGGGCAAAGGTGCGATCGTCACGGGCGGCGGCTCGGGCATTGGACGCGGCATCGCGCTGGCGTTTGCTGCCGAGGGTGCCAGCGTCGTGGTGACCGGTCGGCGCGCGCAGAACCTCCAAGAGACCGCGGCGCTCGCGGCGGAACTCCCCGGCACGATCAGAGCCGTCGAGGCCGACGCGACGGACCGCGACCAGAGCCCGCTCGTCGCGCGGACGCTGGAGACGCAGACCATCGACATCCTCGTGAACAACGCGGGCTTCAACGTGCGCGGCCGCGCCATGGACCGCATCACCGTCGACGACTGGCACGCGCTCGTCGACACGAACCTCAACGGCGCCTTCCACCTGGTGCACGCGGTCCTCCCGCACATGCGCGCGCGCGAGGACGGGCTCATCATCAACGTGTCGTCCATCGCGGGCAGGCGCGCGCTGACGCTCTCCGGCGCGGCCTACTGCGCGGCGAAGCGCGGCGTGAACGCGCTCGGCGAGATGATCAACCTCGAGGAGCACAAGCGCGGCATCCGCTGCACGAACATCTGTCCCGGCGAGGTCGTCACGGAGATCTTGGACAAACGGGACGCCCCGCCGTCCGAGGCGCAGCGCGCGCGCATGTTACAGCCCGAGGACGTCGCGGCCGCCGCCCTCTTTATCGCGTGCCTGCCTCCGCGCGCGCACGTCACGGAGCTCACGATCACGGGGAAGACGACGCTGCCCGAGAGCCTCTAGGTCGGCTTACACAACAACGTTAACAGCGGGCGCGGCGGGGCGCCTAGCCGGGCGGCGCGGCGTTCGGCGCGATGGACGCGTCCCGGCCGCCCCTCGCGTCCCCCTTGCGCTCCGCCTTGCCCTCCTTCTTGTCCTTGCGCTTCTTTGCGAAGTCGAAGACGCTCGTGCAGAGGCGGATGAGGAAGGGCGTGAAGGAGTCGGCGACCGCCGCCGCGTGTTTTTTCGAGTAGCCCGTGCGGAAGCACTTGCCCTCGAGCTTCCAGGGCCGGGGGCCGTTCGGCGCGTAGGCCTGGAGGTCCTTGACGCAGTCGTCGTGGATCGTGGCCTCGTTGAGCTTGAGCTTGGCCTTGGCCTTCTTGTCGCCCGGCGGCGGCGCGCTGTCCGGGTCGAAGAACTGGCAGAGGTCGAGGAAGGGCACGTCGGAGCCCATGGAGTTGCCCGCGGCCTTGCCCGGGCGGCCCTTGAAGGTCATGGCGTTTTCGGCGTCGTAGTGCGGCGACAGGAGGAGGCGCCGCTTGAGCTTGAGGTAGATCGACAGGTTCGAGAACGGGAGCACGAGCGAGAGCCAGGACACGACGATCGCGAAGATCTTGTAGTACTTCTTGTAGTTCGTCCGCGACGACGGGATGAGGGACCGGCACACCGGGAACACCGTCGAGGACACCATGAGCGAGAAGAAGATCCACATGACGTAGACGTGGTTGATCTGGAACGTGTCGTTGAAGCTCTCGTTCTCCGACAGCGACGGGATGAGGAAGACGAGCGTGAGCCCGATGGCGAGCTCGTTGCCGAGGAACTCGTTAAAGTCTGACGCCCAGATGATGTTCAGCGTGTTCGTGAAGATCGCGAAGAGCAGCGGCATGATCGTCTCGAGGAACGGCTGCGTCGCGTCGCGGTAGAGGTAGAACGTGATCTTGACCTTGGGCGTGTAGAAGGGCTTCTTGCCCGGGATGCCGTCGCCGTCGGCCTGGTACTCCACCGTCGGCGACGTGTTCATGACCTCCCACTTCTTCATCTCGTCCAGTTTCGTCAGGTCGTCGAAGTCGCGCACGGACACGAGGTTCCGCAGATCTCGGCAGTGGCACATGAGGCTCGGCCGCAGCTCGTACGTCGTCGTCGCCGCGCCGCTAAAGTTCTTCTCCGGCAGCTTACCCGTGAAGGACGTCAGTTCGACGAGGACCTCCGCGGCCATGATGTGGAACGGGTGCGCGGAGAACACGGAGTACAATTTCATGGGCATCTTCGTCGCGAACGTCGTGCTCTTGGCCTGCCACTCGGCGTTGTAGTGTTTGGCCGCCGTCGGCGCCGTCTTGCGGAGGTCAAAGCAGTCCTTCGATTCCGTCTCGCCCTCGTTGACGCGCATGCCGAAGTAGGGGAGCGCGTCCGTGCCCGCGACGCGCTGCAGCGCGGCGAGGTCGTAGAGCAGCGGCCGCTGGATGAGCGTGCCCACGAGATTGACCGAGTCCTCCTCGTCCTTGCCGCGGTTCGCGCTCAGCTTCTTCACCAGGATGGTCATGTAGACGGGCACGACGATCTGCACCTTCTTCGGCTTGTGCTCATCGAGGTGCCGCACGGACGCGTGCGGCCGCGTGTCCAGCGACTTGTGCAGGAGGCGGTAGTCGAAGTCCTTGCCGCTCATGGCGTGCAGCAGCGCGTCGATCTTATCCGTGTCGCGGTCGACCTGGACGCTCATGGATTCGCGGAGCTTCCGCGTCTCCCGCATCAACTCCGGGATGAGACGCGTGACCTCGTCGAAGGTCCGCTCGCCGTGCTCCCGCAGGAACGCGTGTAGCCCCTCCGTCAGCCGCAGGCGCACGCCCATGCTCTGGAGGCGCAGCTCGCCGAAGGACGTGCCCTTGTCGCCCATCTCGCGGAGCTCCTCGCGCGTCACGTGCGCGAGGGCCTTCCCGTCGATGTGGTGCCCCTCGAGGACCTCGGCGATCTTCACGGCCATCTCCTCGTCGCCGTTTTCGGTTTCCCGCAGGATGTGGGCGACGACGAGGCCCGCCTCCTTCACCGTCCACGTCGCGCCCGCGCGCGGGCTCGAGAACGCCGCGCCGGCCTTCCGCGCCGTCGGCTGCCGCTTCAGGCCGTCGGCGGCCTGGACGGCGTCGAGCACGGTGCGCGCCGCGTGCTTCAGGGAGGGCCGCGCCTCCCTGACGGCGGCGAAGTCCTCGCGGCCCCGGTGCGTCTCGAGGAAGCGGCGGATCGCGGCGTGCAGGCGGAAGCGCGGCCCGACCTTGCGGAGCGTCGCCAGCGCCGCGCCGTCGTCGGCGCCGTGGTGGCCCTCGCAGAGGAGCGCCAGGTCGTTGGCGCCGAGGACCGCGAGCACGTCGCCCGTGACCTCGTGGCCTCGGAAAAGGCCGCCGCAGTCGCCGACGCCGAGCTCGCGGCAGAGCTCGCTGACGACGGCCGCGACGTCGTCAGCGCCCCAGGCCGCGTAGGCCGCCGGCGGCGCGACGCCGTCGGTTCGTTCTTTGGAGAAGCGCTTGGGCTTGTCGCGCGGCGACTGCCGCGGCGGCGCGGCGGCGGCGCGCGGCGCGGCGGCGGCGCGCGGCGCGGCGCCGTTGGGCGGCGCGGCGCCGTTGGGCGGCGCGGCGCCGTTGGGGGGCGCGGCGCCGTAGGGCACGTGGGGCGTCGGCGGCAGCCGCGGCACGAGGGGCGCGGCGAGGTGCGCGGGGAAGCCGTGGCGGTCCACGGGCGCACTCAGCGCATGCGGATGCCACGGCTGCCGCCGCGGCGCCAGCGCGTCGCCGCGGGGCGAATCCGGCGGGGAGTTCGGCATCACTCTAAGCGCGCGACGCGCTCCGATGGGCTGCCTCTACGAGCTTCGTTGCGCCCGGCGTTCCCAGTAGCAGGGGAGGGCAATCCAGACTGCGGCCGGGCAGGCGCGCGACGGTTGAAAAGTGTACATTCAATGTTACCTCAATCACTTGATCAACGTCGGCATAATTAGTCGGTTGCTCGGGCTGCCCAAGCATGAGCAAGTTCTCGGCGCCCGCGGAGGAGCTGCCCTTCCACTTCCTCGAGGCGTACCAGAGGGAGACGCCGGAGAACGTCGCCCTCTTCGCCGCGGCGGAGAAAGGCGACGGCGCGGAAGTCAAGGCCCTCCTCGAGCGCGGCGCCTACGCCAACTGGTTCGAGGAGGCGAGGACCGGCGGCATGACCGCCGTGCACGTCGCCGCCCGCGCCCCGTCGACGCACGCCCTCGACGCCCTCCTCGCCTTCGAGGCGGCGGACGCGGCCTACGCGCCGCGCTTCGACCTCAAGTCGACGGCGTCGAAGAGCTCGCCGCTCCACGAGGCCGCGGCGGCCGGCGCGGCCGACAACGTCGCATTGCTGCTGGCGGCCCCGGGCGTCGCAATCGACGGCGTCAACGCCTACGGCGACACGGCCCTGGCCCTCGCCTGCGCCGCCAACTCGTCCGCGGCCGCGAAGGTCCTCCTGGACGCGGCCGCGGACGTCAGGGCCGCGAACGCGCGCGGCCAGCGGCCCCTCCACCTCGCCGTCGCCGGCGTCGCCGCGGCGCTCCGCCGGGGCACCGACGGCGACGCGGCCCTCGACGTCGTCAAGCTGCTGCTCGCGGAGAAGGCGGACCCGAACGCGCCCGACGGCCACGGCCAGACGCCGCTGCACCACGTCGCGGCCATGCGCGAGACGGAGGCGACGGTGAAGCTCGCCAAGCTCCTCCTCGCGAACAAGGCCCAGTCGAAGATCCGCGACGCCAACGGCCAGCGCCCCTCGGAGCTCGGCGCGAACCGCGCGACGCCGCGCGGCGAGCTCAAGGCGCTCCTCAAGAGCCACGAGCGCCTCATCGTCGACTCGACGACGTTCTAGAGTCCCGCGCTAGGCCCCCTCCGTTACGCGAGCAGCGTGTGCACCTCGACGCGCCGGTTGACGTGGCCGACGGTCTCGTCGATGACGTCGCCAGTCAATCTCCTGGTGCCCGCGAAGCCCTGCGCGTAGACGCGGTCGGGCTCGATGCCGCAGGCGAGGATGAACTGCTTGACGGCGTCGGCGCGCGCCGTCGACAGGCCCATGGCGCCCCCGGGGCACTTGACGCACATCGACGACCCGTTGGGGCAGCCGCCGCTGCCGTCGCAGTCGAGGCCGCACTTGGAGTTCACGTGGCCCTCGAAGCGCACGGCGATGCCGGGGTGCGCCTGGAGCACCTTGAGGATCTGCGCGAGCAGGGGCTGCGACTTGGGCAGCGGGATCGCGCGGCTCCCGACGAACTGGATCATCTGCGAGAACCACATGCGCCGCGCGCCGGCGTCGACCATGACGCCCGCGCCCTCGAGCGCGCACCGCCGGCAGATGGCGAAGTCGCCGCGCGCGTAGAGCTTGTCGTCGCTCCGCCCGCACTTGGAGCACGCCAGCGCGCGCGCCGCGGCGTCGGCCGGTCGCACGAATCGCAGTTCGCCCGCGTGGTCCTCGTGCTGCAAGACCGGCGGCGACTCGCCCAATTCGTAGACCGCCGTCGCGATCTTCGACTCGAGGAGCGGCGCCTCGCCGTCCGCGGGCTCGTAGACCGGCTCCAGGTCCGCGTCGCACGCGGCGAAGAACGCGTCCGGCTCGACCGCGCCGAGCTCGACGCGCTCGCGGCCGCCGCCGAAGACGCCGTCGCCCGCCGCGCCGAGCGCGACGACGTCGCCGCCGCCGGCCTCCGCGAAGTCCAGGCCCTCGACCGTCGCCGCCGCCGCCGCCGCGCGCGTCGCCTTGGCGCGCTGGGCCCGCTCCGTCGCGCGGCGCCGCGCGAGCGCCGGCGACGCGTCCGCGACTTTGTCCCGCCACTCGCGCGCGAGGCCGTAGGGGTCGTCGACCTGCCCCGTCGCGCAGAGCTCGAGGATCTCGAAGGCGCCGTCGCGGTCCAAGAGACCCGCGGCGACGGCGTCGACGAGCGCGTTGCCCAAAGCCGCGTAGCCCTCTGGGACCGAGCTCGTCGCCTCCGCGACGGCCGCGCGTTGCTCGAAGGACGCCAGGGTCTGGCCCGGCCGCGGCAAAGGCACGGCCTTCGTCAGCACGGCGTAGCGGCCCGGCGCCGTGAAGTGGAGCGGCCGCTCGTAGGACCGCCACGCGTGGCTCTCGTCGGCGACGCCCGCCGCCGACTCCTCCTCGAGCTTCGAGACGTCGACGAGCGCGTAGACGTGCTTCATGCCCCGGGGCGCGCGCGACATGGCGATCCTGAGCTCGTCGGGGTGCGCCGCGACGTTCTCGATGGCCGGCCGCGGCGCGCGCCGCTCCGCGGCGTCCTCGGCGCGCTGCGCGGCGGCCTCGGCGCGGCGCCGCGTCCGCGCGGCCGCGGCGAGGGCCCGGTCGCCCTGGGCCATGATCTTCGTCTCCTTCGTCGCCTTCTCGATGGCGCCGGCGAAGAGGCGGTTGAAGTAGGCGACGCGCGACCGCACGTGCTCGAGCTCCAGGCTCCGGAACTTGTCGCGGACGTCGGCGCTGATCGCGGTCTTCTGCTGCTCGAGCTTGTCGGCCTGGTGCGACCGGTGCTCGGCCTGGAGCGCCTCCCAGCGCGACGCGACGCCGCCGGAGGACGCGGCGGCCGCGCCGGCCGCGGTGGCTCCGGCGGCGACGGACGCCTTGGCGGGCGGCGGCGGCTTGGGCTTCGCGGCGGGCGGCGTCGGCTTCGCGGCCGGCGGCGGCTTGGGCTTCGCGGCGGGCGGCGGCGGCGTCGGCTTCGCGGCGGGCGGCGCCGGCGCGGCGGCGGGCGGCGCCGCGGCGGCGGGCGCGCCGACCTCGCGCTCGAAGAGGATCGTCACCGGCCGGCCGACGTCGGCCATGACCGCCAGCACGCCGTCGTAGTCGCCCGCGCGGCGGCCGTTGACGCGCGCGATGACGTCGCCGACGGCGACGCCCTGCGTCGACGCCGCGCCGCCCGTTTTGACGGAGACGACGACGGCGGACGAGTCGCTCTCGCGGCAGCCGAGCACGAGGCCCAGCGTGCCGTCGAAGGTCGCGCCGTGGGTCGTGAACGCCGCCATCGGTCGACGCGACCGGCGCCGCGGACAAGGTGGCGCGATGTGCCGGCGCCCTCTCGAGCCGCTTGATCGTTGTGGCAACGTCATCACGTCGTTACATGAATGATAACGCCGAAGCTTATGGGGCGGCTTTCGGAGGGTGCGCGGGGGTGGTTTCGCGCAGCGGCCGGTGGTGGGGCTCGCCGCGTCGGCTCCGGGGGGCGCTCGGGGAGGAGCACCCCGCTGCGCGCGTCGATTGGGCGGCGGGGCGCCGAGCGCGAGAGCTTGCAGTGCTTGGCCGTCGGCGCGACGTCGCCCACGGGCCCGGGGGGCTGCCGCGCGCGCTCGCTTCGTTCGGATGCCTTCGGCGTGAGTCTTGGGGGGAGCTGGTGGGGTCGGCGCCCTCGATGGCTTCGGTGTGCGGGCTTCGATGTGCCCGTGTCCATTCGTTTCTCTGCATTCTGCAGCGTCTCTTCGTAGCGTGGCGCTGTGTGCGGCTCCGTCGACGTCGGCGTCTTCGCTCTCTTCGTCGGCGTCTTTGCTCTCTTCGGTCCCGCTGACTACGGGTGTCCTCTTCGGCGGTGCCCTCGGCTAGCCACTTGTGGTCCTGAGGTTGAATCGGCCTAGTCGAGCCGGACGTCCTGCCCGTCGGGTGCGGGTGCCTTCGTTCTCAACCTCCCCCGGTCCACGGAGAGTCCGTTGAGTGTCGTCTGAATGAGGCGACTCAGGATGCTACTGCCTTGCGCCAGTCCCGGCGTGCTCTCGGCGTGGCGGTGGTACCAGGCGTGGCGCGAGTGTACCGCCGCCTCCGTCCCGAGTGCGCGCACGATCTTCAGGGTGGAGGAGGGGGCCGGTGTGGTTCGCCAGATCCCCGGCTAGGCCTCCGCCCGCGCCTTCCCCGGCGGGATCTTCGGGTGTGCTCCCCCTTCAATAACTTGGTCAACGTCGCCTCCGGGCGGGGCTTCGGGTGCGCACCCCCTTCAATAACTAGTCCAACGTCGCCAACGATCACCGCGTCTGTCACACTCACGGCGCCGTCTTTCACGCACTGCGCGCAAGTTTCAGCCCTTTCATCGCTTGCAAACCGCCCACAACACTCCTTTGCGAGCGCTTCGACTACCAAAGCAACAGTCAGCGCACTAGACGCGACCAATTCCAGCATATCGAACGCCGTCGTCCTGGGTTCGATGGAGGAATCTTCGGCCGTCGAGGTCGCCGCGACGGCCACGAACGTCGCCGTCGCCGTCGTCGCCGTGCCGGCGAACAACGACCACCCGCAGTGCGAGCTGTGCCAGCGGTATGCTGCGTTCGAACTCCTCGTCGTCGCGTTGAGCGTCGCGTATTGGGCGCTCGCGGTCTACGCGCTCCACGCGCCGACGGTCGTCGCGGGCATCTTCCTCGGCACGCTCTTCCCCGGCCTGCTGCTCTCGCTCCACGTGCTGATGTCGTCGTCGAGTCGCGTCCACGTGAACCGGGGGTTGGACGACCTCTCGGAGGCCATGGGCGACAAGTCGTGCGCGCCCGCGGCGATCTCGGCCCACTGGGTCACGTCGCACGTCGCCAACGTCGTCGTCTGGGTTCTGACGACGCTCTTCGCCGTCGCGTGGTCCGTCTACGCCTACGTCGCGGGCCGCGTCCGCTCGCCGATCGGCGTCGCCTTCGTCGCCGCGGCGCTGCTCTTCATCCTCTTCTACCGCCGGGCCGCGCGCGTCGGCCAGCGCTGCAAGCCGACGTCTCGACCCTGCGACGCGACCGTCCAACCCGCGGACGCGGAGGGCGTCAGCATGGTCGCCGTCGCGACCGCGGCGGAGGACGCGCCGGACGTCGCGACCGCGGCGCCGGCGCCGCCGCCGGGCCACGCCCTCCAGAACCGCCGCTTCTTCGTCGGGCCGCGCATCTACAGCCCCTAAGTGCGGGTGCACATAGCAGGCGGGGCGTTTCGCGGTGTCGTTGTCGTCAAGTTGCACTCAGAGAGCACTCGAAGCTCACTCGCCAAATCAGTGCGAAGGCTGCTGTGGCAGCAGGCCCTCGCAAGCAGCGCGACGAGCTGCCGCGGCAAAAAACAACATGGCCTCGCTCGGCTCCTACATCGACATCCTGCAACCGTCGAGCAGCCAGCGCTTCGCGTGCCTCGGCGCGGACCTGCACGCCGAGGCCTGGGAGCCGCCGTCGACGCCGCAGGGCACGCTCTACCACTCGCACGGCGTCTGCGAGAGCAACCACACCGTGACCGTGCAGCGCCTCGCGCGCGCCTGCGTCGACGGGGGCTGGCGCCTCGTGTCGCTGGAGCACGAGGGCCACGGCCTGTCGAGCGGCGCGCGCGCCGTCTGCGCCGACCTGGGGCGCTTGGCGGAGCACCTCGCGGCGTTCGTCGCCAAGGAGCTCGACGCGCGGCCCGCGGGCGAGCCCTGGGCGCTCAGCGGCCACTCCATGGGCGCCGTCGTCGCGCTCTACTCCGCCCACCTCCCCGCGCTCCGCGACCGGCCCGCGCGGCGCGGGCTCGCGCTGCTCGCGCCGGCCGTCGGCGTCGACGCGCGCGCGGTGCCGCCGACGGTCGTCGTCGGCGCGCTGCGGGCCTTTAGCTGGCTCGCGCCGGCGTCGAACTTCGGGATGACGCCGCGCGAGGATCCGCGCGTCTACGCCGTGCCCGCGGACAGCGACCGCAACTACAGCGGCTTCTGGCCGCTGGCGACGTCCCGCGCGCTGCTCGACGCGACGTCCGGCGGCGTCCTCGAGGACCTCGCGTCGGGCGCGCTCGCCGTGCCGGACCGCCTGCTCGTCGTCCACGGCCGCCGGGACACCGTCGTGCCGCTGAAGGCCGTCGCGGCCTTCGTCGAGGCCGCGGGCAAGCCCGTCGGGGAGACGCTCCTCGCCGTGCCCAAGGCGGGCCACGACCTCACCGTGGACCCGTCGACGGGCGGCGACGTCTGCGCGCGCGCCGTCGCCTTCGTCGACACGCCCCCGACCTAACTAGGATCGCGCGGCGGACGACGTCCGGCGGATCGCGCGCCGCTCGAGCGGGCGCACGTAGGTCGCGAGCGCGGCGGCGACGAGGTCGGCGAGCGCGACGCGGTCCGCGCCGCGGCCGACGGCCGCCGGGAGGCTCGCCGCCGGCGCGCCCGCCGGGACGAGCGCGACGCACGGCGCGCGGCCGGCGGCGGCGAGGGCGTAGGCCGCGTCGATGCCAAGCTTCGCGAGCTCGACCATCTCCTCGCCCGAGAAGTACAGCCCCGCGGTCCGCGCGCAGAGCCCGTCGTCGAGCTCGTCCCAGGAGACGACGAGCTGCGGCCGCGCGCCGTCGCGGAAGTGCGGGCAGTTCCGCGTGAGGCCGCCGTCGAGGCACGGTTTGCCGCGGAACGGCCGCGAGAGCCCCGCCGCGAGGAGCCACGGCACCGCCGCCGTCGCCAGTAGCGCTTCCCCCAGGTCCTCGCCGTCGTCGAAGGCGTCGACGAGCCTGGACTCGCCCGCGAGCGGCACGCCGAGAACGCGCTTCGTGACCTCGGTGACGCTCGCAAAGAGCCGACCGGGTCGCGGCGCGCCGTAGTGGCGCGCGCGGCCGCGATAGAAGATCTCCCAGAGCGGCGCGGGGTACGCGAACGGGTAGGCGCGCAGCGTCGTCGCGACGGCCAACGCCCAGCGCAGCGCGGCGTCGAGGTCGTCGTTGAGCGCGAGGAAGGCGACCTGCGCGCCGGCCGACGCGCCGGCGAAGCGCTCGCCGCGGACGCCGAGGTCCCTGAGCGCGAGCGCGAGGCCGCCCGCGAGGCAGACCTTGAAGCCCCCGCCGCTGCACACGAGGTCGACGACGTCCGGCAGCGCGCGCGGCGCGTTCGCGTCCTCGAAAGCTCGACGTCTCTTCGCGGCGTAGGCGTAGACTCGCCGCACGGGCTCCTCGATGGACTCCGGCGGCGCGTCGAGCAGCCCGACGAAGTAGGCGACAGCCTCGGCGTTGTAGCGCCGGAACCACCGCCGCAACGCGCAGCATCGCGCGGCAGCCACATGACTTTTGGGCAGCGATCGGCACTATTTGGGTAGCATCAGAGGCCGGCCGAGCCATCCACGATGCCCCATCAAAGAGCCCAGTGCATCTTGAACAAGTTGATGTGGGAGAGGTTTCGATCGGAGCATGGGATCTCGCTTGGTCTTCAGCGGCGAGGTGACCGACGCCGCGACGGCGGCGCTCGACGCGTTGCTCGACCGCCTGCGCGACGGCGGCCTCGAGCACGAGGGCCTCTTCCGCATCCCCGGCAACGCCGAGGACGTCGCCGACGCGCGGAAGCAGCTCGACGCCGGCGACGACCCCCAGACCCTCGCGGCGGCCCTCGACCTCGACGACGCCGCGGCGCTGACGAAGCTCTGGTTCCGGTCCCACGCCGTCGTCGGCGAGACGACGAACCGCGAGCTGCGGCGCCTCTCCGACGCGCACGGCGACGACGGCGCCGCGTTTTCCGCCGCGGCCGCGGCCGCGCTCGACGCGGCGGACCCAGGCGTCGGCGCGCTCCTGGACTTGTTGCGCTTCCTCCACGACGTCCAGCGGCGCAGCGACGCGAACAAGATGACGGCGAAGAACCTGGCGATCTGCTTCGCGCCGAATTTGTTCCTCCTCGAACACGCCGCCGCGGCGGACCTCCCGCCCGCGATCGCGCTCGCGGAGCGGCTCATCCGCGACTGCCCCGCCGCGGAGCCGTCGACGCCGCCGGCCCTCGCGGAGCGCGTGCCGTCGGCGTCGGACCTCCTCCGCGAGGGCGCGCAGGTCGCGGAGGCACCGATGAGGATAAGCGGCGCGCGGAGTTCCTGCCGCCTCGCCGTCGAGCTCCACTGCGCGTCCGGCGTGCCCGACCTCGGCTGGGTGCTGCCCCAGGACGTCGTCGCCGAGGTCGGCCTCCGCAGCCGCGGCGCGCGGCTCGCGTCCGCGCGCACGGCCGTCTGCGGCGCGTGCGGCGCTTCCCCCGTGTGGACGGGCCGCGCGGGCGCGTGCGTCGTCTTCGAGCTGACGACGCGGTCGCGGCTGGACCTGCGGCAGGTGGCGCTGGAGGTCACCCTGAGCTGCGCGAACCTCGTCTACGACGAGGTCGTCGTCGCCGCCGCGGCGCGCGAAAACGTCGGCGCGCTCGCGGACGGGTTGCCCCGGGAGCTCGCGCTCGCGGCGCCCGCGCGGGACGGGGGCGAGCCGACACCCGCGGGCACGCTCACGCTGAGCGTGCACTGCGACCGCGCGCCCGTGCCCGTCGTCCGGGCCTACGCGCCGCCGGCGGCCGTCGTCGCCTTCGCCGAGGACGAGCCGGCGGCCGCCGCCGCGGAGCCGCCCGTCGCGCTCGCGACGGCCGTGGAGTCGTAACACGTGCCCCGAGGCTCGAGCCGGTCTAGCCGCGTCCACGAGGAGCAAGGGGCTCCCCCTGCCGCGGAGTCGCAACGCACCCGTTAGTCCAGCGCCGCGCTCGCGATGGCGCGGTCGCGGTGCCGGTTGTCCGGGTCGCCGGGCGCGTGGTAGCGGCTCTGCCACCACTGGCGCGGCGCGAGCTGCTTGTACTCCCGCGCGTTCCGGCGGTAGCACGGCTCCTTGCAGACGGAGCCGTAGCCCAGCGTGCAGTTGACGGACTTGGAGATGCCCATGGCGCGCTTGATGTCCATGGCCGGGCCCCAGGGCTCGTGCTTCCAGTTCTCGAAGCGGCGGAGCGCGCGGCGGCACTTGCCGTGGTGCACCCAGGGCGTCCGCGGGTCCCTCACGAGGCCCTGGGGCGCGCAGAGGCCGAAGCGCTCGCAGAAGTTCGCGTAGACGGCGTGCTCGTCGAGCTCCTCCTCGACGAACTTGCGGATCGCGTCCTGGGCGTTGTGGATCTTGCGGTGCCAGTGCTTCTCGCCGCCTCCCAGGGACACGTCGCCCGTGACGTTCGTCTCCGCGACGATGGCCTTGTACTTCTCGGAGTCGCCGAGGTACTTGACGAAGTGGCGCACGTCCGCGTTGAGCTGGGCCGACGTCGCGTTGGCGTCCGTGAGCGTGACGAAGGGCTGGCACTGGAGGCCGATGTAGGGCATGGACTGCACGGACACGAAGACGGGCAGGCCGAAGTAGAGCGCCTCATAGAGCACGCGCGGGTTGCGGTCGCCGCTGCTGTAGTGGATGAGGCCCGAGGCCCGCGTCATGGCCTGCATCATGATCTCGTGGCTGACGCGCGAGTCGTGGAGCCGCACCTTGCCCCGGAGCCGCGGCGACTCCGCCTCGGCGACGATCGCGGTCCAGTCGTCGCCGAGGTCCGGCTGGCGCAGGCCGTAGAACTCGAGGGAAAAGGGGCCCAGAGCCCGCGGGTCCAGCTTCCGCAGGAACTCGAGCTGGCCCTTGGTCGGGCGGTAGGAGCCGATGTAGATCAGCGTCCGGGGCCGCGGCGCCGCGGCCGTCCGCGCGACGTCGTCGTAGAGCGCCTGCTCCTTGGGCGGCAGGAGCACGGGCTTGGGCAGCGCGTCGTCCCGGATGATCTCGATGGGCGTGTGGGACGGGTGCCGCCGGAAGGCCGGCTCGACGGTCCGCTTCTGGTACTCCCAGTCGGGCGTGCGGACGACGGTCCGCGGCCGGTGCACGTCCGGGAGCACGGTCTCCTCGAGCGGCGTGCCCACGGTGTAGAGCAGCGACCGCTCGTAGATGCCGCGGATCTCCGCGTGGGGGTTCAGGATGGGCAGCCACGCGATCCGCGTCGGCGGCTTCGCGGCCGGGTCGACGTACCTGTCGCCGAGGATCCGCTCGCCCTGGCGGTTCAGCACGTAGACGTCGCAGCCCCCCAGGTAGTCGTGGGGCGGCGAGTTGCCCGCCGTGCTCACGAAGGGCGCGCCCGTGGCGCCGCAGTACGTGTTCGTGCAGTGGAACCGCATCCGCTTGTCCTCGCCGCCGCCGAGGACGACGACGAGCGCGGGCGGCCGCCCGCCCTCGTCGCAGGCCGTGCGCCGAAACGTCCCGCAATCCGCGCAGGTGCCGTCGTCGTTGTGCGCGACGACGCGCAGGCCCGTGAGCAGGTGCAGGCACTGCGCCATGCCGTCGCGCCAGTCCGCGCGCGACCCCTCGCAGAGGTTGCTCTTCGACGCCGTCATGGTCTGCACCATGATCAGGATGCTCCGGTTCTGGTCCCGGATCGTCTGGCCGTCCAAGCTCAAACCCACGCGCCGGCAGCTCGCCGACGCCTTCGGGGCGTCGCGGTGGAGCATGGCGCCGCCGTGCATGGAGCGCGCCAGCTCGATCTTCGACTTGCCCACGAGCCGCGCGTAGGGCGTCGCGTAGGGCGCCGGGTCCGCGCCGAGCGACGGCAGCAGCGCGACGGCCGCGGCGGCCACGAGGCCCCACCGCGGCCCCACCATCGCAGTATTTTTTTGGATGCTTGAACGAGCTGCAACCAGGCTGCTCCATGGGTGTAACGCTGGCCTGGGCGCCAGCGGCCCGAGTTGACCTCGCCACCACAGCTAGAGTCTTGGCACCAGCCAGCGGTGTCGTCGCGGCTTGATTTGAGAACGATGCGCGCGACCCTCGTGCTCGCGCTCGCCGCGTCCGCCGCGGCCCTCGTGCCCGCGCCGCGGCCGCTCCGCGCGCCGACGCGCGTCTCCGGCTTCTTCGACGATCTCATGGACAAGCTCGAGGGCGTGGACAAGGAGGACGACTGGAAGGACGAGATGTTCCGCGAGCAGCAGGCCATCCTGAAGAAGCGCCAGGCCTCCGGCGGCTTCATCACCGAGGCGGAGGAGGACGAGATCCGCGCGCGGCGCGACTCGTTCAGCGCCGCCGACGCGGAGCTCAAAAAGGTGCAGGCGACGGGCGACCTCGAGGCGTGGAAGAAGGCCCGCAAGGAGGGCAAGATCAAGACCGCGACGTCGGGCCTGAAGCGCGACGCGTCCTCGAGCCGCCTCGGGTCCGCGGGCCTCTTCGCGGAGCGCGCGGACGCGAAGTTGCCGTGGATGGACCGCGGCTTCGTCGAGGAGAAGCCGAAGAAGGCGCCCGTGAAGACGTCGGCCGACGGCATCCCCATCAAGGACAAGGCGTCGTCGCCGGCGCCGGCGGCGCCGCCGAACCCCTTCGCCGCCTTCTTCGAAAAGAAGGAGCCGCCCGCGCCCGAGCCCGAGCCCGAGCCCGAGCCGGAGAGCCCCCTCGACTCGCTCATGAAGATGAACCCCTTCGCGAAGAAGGACTAGGCCATAGTTAAGCTTCGAAGGCCCACAGCTTCACGCGCCGGTCCTTGGACAGGGAGCAGGACGCGAGCGCGTCCCGGGTCGGGTGCGGGTCCACGGCGAGGACCGCCGCGTCGTGCGCGTTCCGTATCGTGTGCGTCCGCTGCGCGCTCTGCAGGTCCCAGACGTGGACGTGGCCGTCCTCGGACCCGGCGACGACCGCGTGGCCCCGCGTCGGGGCCGTGTGGAACGCGGACGGCCCGCAGTAGCGCGCGGACTCGCGGCCCGTGAAGACCCGCGCGAGGCGGCAGGGGTTCGCGTCGACGCGCCAGAGGCGCACGGTCGAGTCGTGGGTCGACGCGAGCACGTAGTCGCCGTTCGCGGAGTAAGTCGCGTGGCTCATGGGCGCGTGCTTCGCGGAGCTCCCCGCCTGCTCCGCGAAGATCGTCGTGAGGCACTCGCCCGACGCCACGTCCCAGAGGCGCAACAGGCCGTCGTAGGAGCCGGAAGCGAGCACCGTGCCGTCGTAGCCGTTGAAGGACACGGCCGTCACGGGCTCGGAGTGCGCATTGATCGTCTTCACGGCCTTCGCCACTCGGACGTCCCAGACCTTGACCGTCTCGTCGAAGGACCCGGAGGCCAGCAGCGTGTTCGCCGGGTTGAGGCCCACGCAGAAGACGTAGGACTCGTGGCCCTCGAAGGACGACGCGCACGCGCCCGTCGCCGCGTCCCAGAGCCGCACGGTCTTGTCGTCCGACGCCGTGACGACGTAGGACCGGTCGCGGCTCCAGGCGACGTCGTTGATGCCCTCGGCGTGGGCCTCGAGCCGCAGCCGCACCGCCATGCCGCCGGACCCGTCGTCGCCGAAGAGCGCGCCCGTGCCGTCGGCGCTGCAGGCGCAGAGCAGGGACCCGTCGGGCGACCACGCGCAGCAGGACGTCGACCGCTTGAAGCCGCCGTCGAGCGACGCGCTTAGAGCGTAGGCGCCGCCCGGCGCGGCGTCGACGTCCATGCTCGCCGGCGCGGCCGGCAGGCGTGGCTCGAGGACGGCGGTCATAGGGGGCTTTGTGCGATTCGGCTCGGCGGAGCGAGATGGGGCACGCGGCGCCGGCGATCCGGCGGCCGGCCTCGCCAGGCCTCGAGCGCGGGCGGCGACCGCTGGGTCGGAGCCGCCACCTATCGCGCAGGGATCCCAAAAAAAAAATTGAGGCCAGATACGACAACTTCGCGCGGAGACGGGAGCAAAAGACCGGCCACTTACCGCCCCCGCGGACGTCAAGGCGCCTCGGCGAAGACGTCGACGACGCGCGGGTCGCCGCCGACGCCCGCCTGCTCGGGCGCGCCGGCGTCGGCGACTTGCCGCGCCGCGGCGACGCCGTAGACGAGCGGCGCGGGGTCGCGGGTCGCGAACGCGACTCGCGCCGCGAGCAGACTAAAGCCGCCGCCGCCGAGGACGAGCGCGTCCGCGCGCGCCATGAAGAGAAGGTCGTCGTCCGGGTCGCGGTCGCGCCGCGCCGCGACGGTGAAGTTGCGGCCTTCGAGGTAGGCCGCCGCGTCGCGCGCGTAGCGCTCGCTCCGGGCGACGGCGTCCGCCGGCGCGGTCCCGACGCACGGCGCGTGCGTCGTCGAGTAGACGAGCGTGACGCTCCGCGCGTCCTCCGGGAGGCGCGCGACGACGGCCTCGAAGTACGCGCGGCCGTAGACGTAGCGTCCGCCCGTCGAGTCGAAATCTTGCGCGACGTCGCCGAGTCGGAGGTGCCACGCGGCCGCCCCGGGTATTCGCTCCGCGGGCCGCGCCGCTTCGAGCGCGTCGACGGCCGCGAGGAGCGCCGGCAGGTCGCGGCGGCCGGCGTGCGTCCGCGCGTAGGCGCAGGCGAGCGACGCCGGCCAGAAGCACGCGTAGCGCGTCAGCGCCGCTGGTCTAACGCCTTTGTACGTGTCGGCGAGGCGGTAGTGCGCGAACGACGCGTTGTCGCAGGCCCCGCAGAGGCAATCTCGTTTCGTACCGTTGACGATCCGCGTCTTGTAATAGTGGGGGTGCTTGCGTCGCGCCGCGGCGGGGCGCAGGAAAAAAAGCAGGAAAAAAAGGAGGCGGCGCATGTCTTGCTCACTGAGTTACAGCTTGTCACGCAAGAGGCGTTTCGAGCGCATCGCGAGCAGTGAGACGTTCATAACGAGCCGTTAAATGTTGCGTTGTGCACACTTAAAGTGTCGCTTACTCGCCACCAGACCACTTTTTTTTGCCATAAACCAGTCGCATAAACCAGCGATCGTCTTGAGACAGCGGAGGACCAAGATATGGACACGCTCGGTGACGACGTCCTCGCGCAGGTCCTCGATTACTTCCGTAGTGACCCCAAGAACGTAACATATGATTACGAGGGCAAGCAGAGCCCCTGGTGCAAATCGCGGGTCGAGGAGGAGCGTTGTTTTGTAGAAGAGAAGAGCAGGCTCGCGAACGTGCTCGCATTCGCCACGTGCTCGCGGGAGACGCGACGCCTGGGTCTGGGCGACGCCGTCTGGTCCGCGCATCGTCTGACGATGGAGGCGCAGCTCGGTTTCGAGGACCTGCGCGAACGCGCGATCGAGATCGCGCCGCTCCCCGCGACGACGAATTTGCGCGCGAGCGCGCCCGCCGGCGATACGAAGCTCTGCGGCGCCTGCGGGTCGTCGCTTGCCGAGGCCGCCTTCTCGAAGAAGCAGTGGAAGGCGCGGTCGCAGCGCCGTTGCATCGGCTGCGCCGACGCCGAGCGGCCCGTCGACGTGAGCGTCATCGCGGAGGCCCTCGACAGCGGCCTCCAACTCTGGACGGAGGAGGACCTGCACTCGCGCAAGTCGGAGCTGGATTCAGAGACGCGCTCCTATTCGGACCACCAGGTCCCGCCGGCGAGGCTTGTCATCCAGTCGGAGGAGCACGGTTTGCTGGTACAGTGCCGGAGTAGCGGTTTTTATTTAGAGGACGAGTGGCTTCGGGGTGCGGGGGGCCGCATCCTCTCTCGGCCCGAAGGCGCGGTGGTGGTCCAGGATTGTTGGCACAGCAAGGCCGAGAAGGCGCTGGCGCCGGCCAAGCGAAAGATGGTGTGGCGCGAGCGAGACCTGCCGGTGCAATGCTGCGGCCAGAGCTTCGCGAGCCGCGCCGAGCTCGACGCTCACCTGCACACGTGGTCACACGTTCGTTGCCATACGCCGCCCGATCGCCTCCTCCCCGACGAGTACGTCGATCCGCGCGTCCTGGACCCGGAGGCCTACGCGTCGCGGTCGGCGTACGAGGCCTACCGGGAGCTCCGCGTCTTCTACGACCGAGTCCGCGCCAAGCTGCTCTCCTTCCTCGATTTCGCCTCGTGTTCCTCTGCAGACCTGTGTCACATTGCAGATCTCGCGAATTTCGCGGGAGAGGCCGTCCAAGACGCCGAGGATCGCGCGATCATGGACGGACAAAACGACCCGAGCTACGACTGGGACCTCGCGTTGGCGAACTGCACCCCCGAGAAGTGCGCGGAGGTCGCCGTCCGGGAAATCGCGCTCAAGGAATTCCATCGCCAAGGCCTCGTCCGTAGCAACGCACGCGACCTCCTCCTCGGTGGCTGGCCCAAGTGCCAGCCGTGCGCCGGCTCCTGCAGCACGACCGTCTTCCTGGAGTACCTCACCGGGTGCGGCTACTTCCACTACATCTAATTTAGAACGGGCTCCCGCCCTGGTGCCCCGCGGCGCGCTGGCTCGGCGAGAGGCGCGACGGGCTCGACTGGACGAGGTCGTTGAGCTTCGAGAGCGACTTCTGGTGGAGCTTCGTCATGTCGCGTGTGGCCTTGAGGACGTTGTTGATGTTCGTGTCGAGGACCATGCCGGCCATGACGATCTCGTCGAGGATGTAGTGGACGCGGTCGCTGTGGAAGATGAGGTCGAGCTCGCAGACGTTCTCGAAGCACTTGTCGAGCCTGCGGGCGCCGCGTCGGCGCGCGCGCGCGGCGGGGGAGAAGGCGGGCGCGGCGTACGCGCGCTTCGACGAAGACCTGGATGAGGTCGAGGATGCCGAGGTCGCTCTCGAGGTGGGAGACGGCGAAGACGAAGTAGAGCGTCGCGTAGTGGCGGTAGATGAGCTTCGTGTCGGCGCCCCACTGGGGGATCGCGCCCTCGAGGTAGTTGCAGAAGGAGTCGGGCCGGCTGCAGATCTGGTTGTAGATCTTGCGCACGACGAGCTGCTGGATGACCTCGGGCTGCTCCTCGCCCTCGGTGTGCACGGGCTCGTAGAACTTCGCGATGCGGCACCTGTCGACGGGCGCGTGAGCGGGGGCGGTGGTGGGGGACGCGGCGCGACGACGTGCCCATGTTGTTCACGATCACGATCCCCTTGACGACCATGGCGCCCCGGTCGACCGCCGCGAGGCGTCGAGAAACCGTGAGGCGAGGCGTCGCGATGAGCGCTCGACTGTGGAGGTCAATGTCGTCCGGCGACGGCAAGCTTGCAAGTTGAACGCGCTGCCCAGCAGAGCGCATGGTCGGAGGAACAACACGCGCTCGAGCGGCGCCGCGCCTTGCGCCATGACCATGGACGCGTCCCCGAAGACCCCGAAGCGGGGCTCGCGGCGCTGGTCGCTGCTGAGCCTCACGCCGCTGCGGTCGTCGCTGAAGCACGCGCCCATCTCGCCCGTCGAGGAGGCGGCGGCGACGCCGGAGCCCGCGCCCGTCGCGGCGGCGGCGGCGGCGCTCCCGCCCGTCGTCCTCGAGGATTCGGCGTCCGAGGGCGAGGACGACGCGCTCGACTCCTTCGTGCGGGGCCTGCGCACTTCCACGACGTGCTGGGACTCGCCGCGGCCCTCCGGCCCCCGGGGCCCCGTCGCGAGCCTCGCGCCGGAGAGCAAGCGCGTCCTCGCCAACGTCGTCGCCCTCGTCTGGCAGCGGCGCACGCTCGCCGACCTCCACGGCGGCTGCTGCGACGGGCACCTCGCGGCCGCGGAGCGGCTGCTGCCGGACATGGACCTGCCCGGGCTCAACTTCGACCCGCCGCGGCAGCAGTGCGGCGACGGCTGCATCGTCGGCTGCGTCGAGGAGCTGCTCGAGACGGCCCACGGCGTGTCGAAGCGCTTCGAGCTCGCCTGCGTCGCGGCGCTCCACGTCGTGGACCTCGACCCTTCTCGGTTCGAGATGCGCGTCAAGTCCGCCGAGCGCGCGTCGGAGAAGGCCGAGTTCGACTACGGCGCCAAGTCGCCGGGGCCGGGCTGCTCCTGGGTCTTCGACGCGCTGGCGGGGCGCGTGTCCGTCGACGACGAGGGCGCGCTGCTGCGCGTGCTCGCCGCGGTCGCGGCGACGCCGGGCGTCGCCGTCGTCGGGCTCAAGAACCGGTTCCGGTCTCCGACGTTCCTCGGGTACCGCGACGTGCTGGCGCTGCTGCGCTTCGAGCACGGCGCGGGGAGCTTCGTCTGCGAGCTGGGCCTCCACCTGCGGCCGCTCCTCGACTTCGACCGGCGCCACGGCTGCCGGGATTTGTACGCGGCTGTGTGGAAATCAACCACTCGTTTGGGTGGTCCTGACCAAACTTCAGACTTCTCTAGCTCGGTCAAATCGAAGTCGATTCGGCTGATCTTTGGACGAATCGATTGCTCTGGTTGAGTTCTCGAAGCACAGCAGAAAACCTCGCGTCGAAACTGTCGCATGCGCTCACATTGAAGTCTGGTTGAAGATTTGAATTCCACACAGGTACGCGGAGTTCGAGCCGCTGCTCCGCGGCAAGGCGCCGGACGCGGCCGCGGCGACCGTGGGCGCGCTCCGGCGCCTGGGCGCGGACGTCCTCGCCAACGCCATGGCGGAGAACGAGCTCGAGGCCATTGTCGAGTCCGTGCGCGCGGGCGACGACGCCGCGCTCATCGGCGTCGTCGCCGACTTGGCGGAGCTCGGCTCCGACTTCGCGGCGTCGCTGCCGCTTCGGGAGCGGCTGCGGCACCTGGCGCCGGGCGACGCGGCGCTGAACCGGGCCTACGGGGTCGCGTGCCTCGAGGCGGGGGACGTGGACGTCGGCGTCGACGTGCTGAAGCGCGCCGCGGCGGAGATCGCCGACGACGACGCGACGGGCGGCGCCGCGGACACGATCGAGACCTACGGCGTCGTGCTGCTGGAGAAGGGCGAGCTCGAGGTCGCCATCAAGCAGCTGAAGCGCGCCGTCGACCTGCACCGGGCCGCGGGCCGCGCGGGCACGCTCGTCGAGGCGCGGTCGCTCCCAGGGCAGGAAAAGAGAGCGACATGCCCAACTTCTCCTCTCTCGGCTGTTTTCCACTCGTTTCGGCTGATTTTTGGACGAGCGATCATCTCTCGGAACGGTCTCGGAGCACGAATGCTGTTTACGGAACGCGCGCGCGCGGCACACTCACGTTGAAGCGACGTTGAATCACTCGTTTCCTGCCCAGGTCGCTCCACAACGTCGGCGTCGCGCTCCGGCGGAAGAAGGAGCCGCGCCTCGCGAAGCACGCGCTCAAGCGCGCGCTCGCCATCCGCGAGGCGAACCTCTGCGACGCCTGCGACGCCGTCAACAGCTCGCGCTTCAGCCTCGCGAACGTCCTCGACGACCTGGGGAAGCGGGACCGCGCCAAGGCCTTGTACGCCAAAATCCGCGAGGTCCACGCGGGGCTCCGCGACGACTGCGCGCGCACGCTCGAGCGCCTCGGCCAGCGCGCGACGAAGGTGCCCCTGGGGCGCGACTCCCAGAAGGACCGCGAGTCCGTGCCCCTCGGGCGGGGCGGCCACGGCGTCGCGGCGGCCGCGGGCGGCGACCGCGTGTCGCGCGGCGGCCTCCGGGGCAGCCGCCGCGGCGGCTCCGGGTCCTTCGGCGCGCAGCGGTCCGGGTCCGGCGCGGCGCCGCCGAATTCGGCGCGGGGCCAGGGCAGTCCCCAGCGGCCCTTCCGCGGCGCCGTGTCGCCCGACGACATGCGGTCGCTCAAGGTCGTCGCGACGGGCAGAGGACACGGGCTCGAGGTCCTCGACGGCGGCCTGTTGGGCGTCAAGAACGACGAGGCGTTGAAGGACGGCGACGAGTACGCCCCCGGGTCCGTGCTGCTCTACGACGGCCGCTACGTCGGCGTCGTCGAGCGGGTCCTGGGGCGCGGCGCGTTCGGGACCGTGTGCGAATCAACCGCTGGTTTGGGACGTCCCGACCGAACTTTGAAATTCTCTCGCTCGGTCAAATCGAAGGCGATTCGGCTGATTTTTAGAGAGATCGATTTTTCTCATTGAGTTCTCGAAGCACAGCCGAAGCGTTTGTGTCGAACCGTTCGATCACGCGCACATTGAAGTCGGGTTGAAGATTTGACACAGGTTCGGGACCGTGCACCGCTTCGACGACGAGGAGACGGGCGAGTCGCTCGCCATGAAGTCGCTGAGCGGGCGCGACGGCCGCGCCTCCGGCGCGAAGCTGGAGGAGATGCTCTGCCAGGAGGCGGGGTTCTCCTTCGCCGTGGGCACGCACGCGAACCTCGTGTCCATCCGGAAGGTCTTAGTCCCGCTCCCGGGCCTCCGCGAGTCGAACATCCGCTCCGGCAGCCTCATCTTCAGCGACGTCGTCGAGGGCCGGTCCCTGGACACGTGGATGGGCGTCACGACGACGGGCGCGGGCTTCGACGGCCCGCTCTACGACCCCTTCCCGGGCCCGCGGACCTACAACGGCCTCACGCTGCCGCCCAAGGACGTCGACGGGCGCCTCGCGGGGCTCGCCGCGCAGCTCTACCTCGGCATCGAGCACATGCACGCCCGGGGCGTCATGCACCAAGATTTGAAACCTGGGAACTTGATCGTCACGTCGGACTGGTGGCTGAAGATCACGGACTACGGTTTGGCGGGCTACTCGTCGCTCCGCGACAAGGACCCGTGGGTGAACTCGCACCAGAACGCGAAGCTGTTGGAGCGCAAGACGAAGACGCTCTGCGCGACGCTCATGGGCGGCACGCCGGCCTACTGCTCGCCCGAGGCGCTGCGCGCGCTCCACGAGAAGACGAACGCGGCGTGCGCGCGCGCGCCGCGGCTCGCGGCGGCGACGTGCGAGCTCCGCCACTCCGCGGACGCGGACCGCGAGGATTTGGACGACGACGACGAGTGCCGGGGCCGGGGGCCGTCGGGCACGGTGATCACGCCGGCGACGGGCGACCTCTGGGCCGCGGGCGTCGTCATCCTGGAGCTCTTCGCGCGGTGCCCCTTCTCGCGGTCGCGGACGACGGCGCTCGCGGCGCTCGAGGCCTACGGCGACCTCCCGGATGGCGCGGCGGCGCGGGCCTGGGACGCGCCGGCCTGGGCGGGCTGGGCGCGGCGCGAGGGGCTGCCGGGCGAGGCCTGCGAACTCATCGAGAAGAAGCGGCTCGACCTCGGCGACGCGGACTGCGACCTCCGGCGCCACTTCAAGCTCGCGCACCGCGTCAAGCTCGCGGGCCTCCTGCGGTGCCGCGTGCGCTGGCACCCCATGCCCGAGGCGCTGGCGAAGATCTTGGAGGCGACGTTCGCGCCGGCGGTGGCGGACCGGCCGCGCGACGCGGGATGGGTCGTGTCGCAGCTCCGGGACCGCGGCGTCGGCGTCGACGACATCCCGCTGGACGCGCGGCGGGCGCCGCCGCCCCACAGCGACCGCGACATCCGGGGCACGCTGGGCTCCATCGCCGCGGCCTTCGAGCTCCGCGGCGCGGCGACGTTGGCGACGCGCGTCTACTGCGAGTGGCTCGGCGCGTCCGAGGGCGCGCTGCGGCGCGAGGCCGCGGACCGCTTCGCCGCGGCGGCGCGGGACTTGGCGGGCGTGCCGGCCGTGGATTTGAGTCGGGAGGGGCGGCTCCACTGGCGCCGACTGGACAACGCGTCGTTCCTGAAGATCGCCGCGGCGCTCTCCGAGCGCGCGCCGCAGGTGCTCGACGCGCTCTACCTCCGCCGCCAGGATCTGCTCGACTGCAGCCTCGCGCCGCTCGCCGGCCTGAGCTCGCTCGTGACGCTGGATTTGGCGTGGTGCGACCGGCTCCAGGGCACGCTCGAGCCGCTCGGCGGTCTGGGGAATTTGGAGGCGCTGTGCCTCCACTTCTGCGTGGGGCTGCGGGGGCGCCTCGAGCCCCTCGCGAACCTGACGAAGTTGAGGGACCTGGACCTGGGCTGCTGCATGGACCTCGACGGGTCCCTGGACCCCCTCGGCGACCTCGTGAGCCTCCAGCGGCTGAACCTCCGCGCGTGCGCCAAGCTCCGGGGCACGCTCGGGCCGTTGAGCGCGTGCGAGAACCTCAAGTCCCTCGACATCCGCGACACCTTCGTCACGGGCTCCATCGCGCGCCTCTTCCGCCCGCTCCACAACCTCGAGGTCCTCGACCTCAAGGGCACGGCCGTCGAGGACATCGGCGAGTTCAAGCGCGCGCACCCGAACTGCCGCATCACGGGCTTCTCCCTCAGCCGCCGGCGCTACCGCGCGACGGGCGAGTCGACGGCGTGGTAGGTTGTACTAGGGCGCTTGTGTGGTGCCCGTCCCGGCGGCGGCTCGCGGCCGCGCGCGGCCTCCTCGGCGCGGCCGCCCCGCGGCGCGCCTCCCAGTGACGTCGCTCACCCGCCGGCGAGGGCCCCCGGCGCCGCGCCGCGCGCTCCGGACGCCCCAGCCTCTTAGAGCAGCGGCCGCGCGAGTGCGGCGGCGACGACGGCGCCGATGAGCGTGTTGATGAAGTTGATGACCTCGTTGGTGAAGATGCCGCCCTGGAGCGTCGCGCCGAGCCAGGACTCGCAGGTCGTCGCGACGAAGGCCGCGACCGCGGCGACGGGCACCATGGCGGGCGCCACGAGGCCCACGGCCGTCGCGTAGCCCGCGATGACGAGGCTCCCCGCGACGCCCGCGAGCGTGCCCTCGAGGGACACGGCGCCCTCCGTGCCCGGGGGCACGCGCTTCAGGGTCGTCGACAGGTAGCAGGTCTTGCCGTAGGCCTTGCCGATCTCCGACGCGAGCGTGTCGCCTGGGCAAGAAAAGAGTGCGAAATTTCCAACTTTGCGTGGCGACGAACGACGGCGGCGACGTCGTCTTCGGGGCCGTGACCGTCGGCGCCGACGCGTTCGTCGGGCCCGCGGCGACGCTGCTGCCGGGCGCGCACGTGCGCGCCGGCGCCGCCGTCGGGGCCCACGCCGTCGTCGGGCCCACGTGGAGGCTCATGTCTCGGTCGTTTTCCACTCGTTTCGGCTAATTTTTGAACGAGCGATCATCTCTCGGAGCGCTCTCGACGCGTGGATGCTTTTTTTTCCGGAACGCGCGCGCGCGGAACACTCATGTTGAAGCGAACTTGAATCACTCTTTTCCTGCCCCGCGTGTCGCTGAGCTTCGTCGCCAGGGACGCGACGTACGCGACGGCGAGCAGGGGCCGCTGCGCCGGGTAGGCCTGGCCCAACAGCGCGCAGGCCGCGCCCGTCGCCGCCGAGCCCCAGACGTTCTCGGGCCCGCGGCGGCCGCCGCGGCCCTCGCCGATGCCCGCGGCGTCCTTCTCCGCCTGCTTTACCTTCGTCGCCGCGGACCCGGCGACGAGGTAGAGCACGCAGAGGCTGTAGCCCCGCCAGCCGACGAAGGAGCTGAGCAGGATCACGCCGAGCGCCCAGGCGTGCGCGAGGCCCGACGGCGTGAGCGACTTTTGCCGCGTGCCGATGCCGAAGGCCGCGAGGGCCGTGTTGACGGTGATGGCGTTCTCGAAGGGCGTGAGCTGCTGCGTCGTCGTTTTGGTGATTTTGAGAGGCTTGATTCTCGGGTGCGGCGCGATGAGGGCTGTGGTGGCGGCGCAGAGGCTCAGAAGTTGCAGCGCGCGTCGGGCCATTGCGCGTCGACCGATCGTGAGGCGCGCTCTCGAGAAAAAAAAATTAAAAGGGGTTGGGTTGTGGCGCGGGCGCGGCGGATGGGGGTTTGGCAAAAAAAAAAAAAAAGGTACCCGCAAGCGGGCTTCAAAGATTGAGGGTGTCCGAGAGGCGATCACTCAGCTATCATGTCCCGTAGACCAAGGCATCCTCGGATCTACTCTAGTAAAAGGCGAGGGATAGATGTGCTCCAAAGATCGCCCCAGGACTTCGTTCCCCCGGGATTGCACCGGGCTACTGGCGCGGTTCGAACCATCGACCACGTAGGGGCTTCTCCGAACGTTCGGCGAAATTTTGTGCGGGAGCTAGCCCGCAAGTCGGTGAAATACCCGCCCGACGGAGCCTCGCGATGGCTAGATTGCGCGATTGCGGAGCGATTGAGGTGATGGGACATGATCTCGAGTGACGAGACCTGGAAAACATCGACACGCTCGCCGTGCAAACCTGCAGACGGTCGTCGGTCGCTCTCGCACATCGCGGTGCTCGGATTCGCGCGTGACGCGACCGCATCGCTGCGAACCTCTCATCTCGCCGTCGTGCGACGATAAGCTGCGCGCCGCCATGACCGCATCATCTACGACCACCCCGACCGACGACATGTGGATGCGCCGCGCGCTCGAGCTCGCGGAAGACGCCGTCGCCGAGCAGGGCGAGGTGCCCGTCGGGTGCGTGTTCGTGAACGACAACAACGTCGAGATCGCGAGCGCCGCCAATGAAACGAACGAGGCCATGTGCGCCACGCGCCACGCGGAGCTCGTCGCCATCGACGGCGCACTCAAGCATTCAGCCGCGCGCGGCCAGCCGCTCGACTGGACGCGCTGCGCGCTCTACGTGACGTGCGAGCCCTGCATCATGTGCGCGTCCGCGCTCTCGCAGCTCGGCATCGCCAAGTGCTACTTCGGCTGCCGCAACGACAAGTTCGGCGGCTGCGGGTCCATCCTCAGCCTCCACGAGGGCAACTTCGACATCGTTGAGGGCCTGCGCGAGGCCGAGGCCGTGGACCTCTTCCGCCGCTTCTACGACCGCGAGAACAGCCGGACGCTGGGCAGCGACGCCCACGGCGACAAGCGCACGCGACGACGGACGGCGGCCCGCGACAGCGGCGTCGACGGCGCGACGTAACGCCGCTACTACTCGACGGCTCCGCGGACACGATCTCGAAGTGCGCCGCGGCGCGCCGCGTCACTGGCAGCATATAATTTCAGCATCTCGCGGAATTAGAAACGCTAGTGCCCTTGGCACGTGGACCCGGTGGGCGGGCTTTACGGGTGGCGGCCGTTGTCGCCGAGCACAGCGCATGAGAGAGACGATCGTATTGTACAAATTTTGGCGATGCCATGGTGCAAAACCTGTGGCAAGTGGTCCGGGTGGCGCAGCAACACTAGATTCGCGCGGGCGCGACGAGGACTGCGTCGCGTGCTGCTTCAGCGACACGTCCTACGGCGGCGACGACTACTCCATCGACGACTACTCCATCGACGACTACTCCATCGGCGACTACTCCATGGACGACTACTCCATCGACGACTTCTCCAACGACGACTACTCCGACGACGACTACTCCAACGACTACCCCATGGACGACGACGACTCCAAGGACCCGGGTCCGAAGACGCCCTCGCGGCGCCGTCGGGAGAGGGGGTCCGCGCGGCGGCCGGCGGCGGAACGCGCGCGCCGTCGGCCTCGAACTTTCCCGGCGCGGCCCGCGCGGTCTCGTCGCTACTCGGCGTCCCGCGCGGCGGCCGGCGGCAGCCT